ACAACATTTATGCTTAGAGCTAATCTATGCTAACCTGTTAGCCAGCTGCAAGAAGGCCAAGCTGCCAGAAAAGTAGGTTTGGAAATGATGCCAAATGAAAATAAAGCCGCACAGACTCTGTTGCAAACTAGTCTGGCACGGTACATTAAGTTTCGGTGTGATGTTGCCGTATGTAGTAGTTTATGAAAATGTGCCTGTGCAGTGGACGTACTCTGAGTTCCTCTGTGCGCTCGGAGAGGCGGGGTTTGGGCTGTGGGAGCCACGCAGCTGAGCTGTTTGTCTTGTCCTCAGAGCCATGGAGAAAATAGACGCTACATCGGAGCTGCAGTCACGGCTGTCATCTCTCTCCTTCTCTGCCTTTTCCGGAATAACATCCAGACAGTGTGAGAACCGACCGGCTGACACCAGGTAACCTGTTGCTCTGGGAGTTTCTGTTATTGGGGCAGGGTATTTGATATTTGTAAGCACAAATTATCATATTTTCTCTATTTATTCTTGTGGTTTCTTGTGTTTTCTTCAGACTTGAGAATACAGACCTTTCACAGACTTTGAGCCAAGATCGAGTGAATATGAATGAATCTACAGAAAAGACTACCAAGCTTTCAGAGGTAGTTAATATTTCTCAAATGTCAAATAAACCATTATGATTGAGTCACAGTAAACAAGGAAGTGCTATTCAAGATGATATAAAGCGTGACTTACCCTTATGTGCATTTGTTTGAGGGTAATGATGAGGCCCCTATTGAGCCGGTCCAGAGGGAGGGCACAGACGAGAACAGCCCTGGGAGCTCTGAGCTCTCTGCTGAGATAAAAGGTAAGAACCTGCTGCCTGTGCCACACAGCTCGACGTTATCTGCACTCATTGCCCTCATCAAATTGATATGTTATATTTTTACTAAACTATTTGCAGTGTGTATATGATGAAACTGATCTACAGTAAAAATGTTATGTTTGACATTTTATTTTTTTTTGGCAGCCCAGATGCCACCTTTAGATCCCCCAACTACATGGACATCTGCTGCTCTGAAGGAGCTTAAGGCAAAGCTGCGCGGTGAGAAGGACAGTGTGGTGACAGTGTATCGAGGAGACATCATGACAGTCCATGTGCCCACTGTGCCAGAGGCTAAGAAAGTCTGCTGGGAGTTCGCCACAGATGGATATGACATTGGTTTTGGAATATACTTTGACTGGACTCCTGTAACATCACGGTCTATTACTGTCCACATTAGTGAGTCTAGTGATGATGAGGATGAAGAGGAGGAGCTGGAAGGTACACTGTTTTTTCTTGTAATCATTTAAAATTATTATGACAGTATTTTCTAATATGATTTCTTTTTTTAGGGCCTGTGATGAATGGAGATGTGGAGAAAGGTTCCAAAAGTCAAGCCAACTCAAATCTAGCTGAAATCTTGCCTGTGTATCGACAGGACTGCCACTTGTCTGTCCATGGGGGCAGTCATGACTTTCCAGGTGAAGGCACGTATCTCCTGAAGTTTGACAACTCCTACTCGCTATGGCGGAATAAAACCCTTTATTACAGAGTTTATTACAGTGCCTGAGATGTCACGTTATTGCTAATGAATGTACAATTAAAGCATTTTATTGAATAGAAATAAGATAACTGTATGAACTATTTTTATTCTATATAAAAGACAGCTCTATAATACAAGACAGGCATAGATGTCTATTTTGTCAATATCAGGTTGAGTCGCCACATGGCCTCCTACCGTATTTTGTCAGTTTAAGGCGATGCAATGCTTCAACGTCTTGCTATATCTAAAGTAGCCTTGCCATGGTTTCATGTATGCACTGTGCTTACTTACTGGTCAAGTGCCCATTTAAAAAAATACTATATATTAATGAAAAATATTTTCAAAGGTAGCAGTAATCAGGGAATACCACAGAACAGGTGTCTATTTAGCAGTGGTTGGCAGAATCAAATTTTTATTTTTGTGTGTATTTTTCTGTAAATGTTTTGCTGTTGTGTGTATTTTAGCCGTTGCCATATTTATTTCATTTTTGACTGTGAATGAGAGAATAGTCTGTCTGTGCACAAATCTGTATGTCCTCAGTAGAAATGTTGAATGTTCTGAAGTGATGAGTTCCGCACAGTTTGCTTGCCATAGCACAATTAAAAGCCATCCCTTATCATGCAAAGCTCCTATTATGTAATGTGAATCAATATTTGCCTCTGCTTTTCCCCGCTCATTGCAGCTAAGAAGTTTGAATATGTCATTGTAATTGTTTATTGTGCACAGAATAGATGAAAACTGAAGATTATTGTCTCTTCGAATATATGTTTTCAATTTGAATGTTTTGAGTTTTTTGTTTGTTCTTGTTGGAATAATCATTGCAGCTTCCATACTGCATGTTTCCAAAGATGTCACAAAGCTGGCTGCTAAAGCATACATCTATTCATTGGAACGCATCAGATCTAAAGGTTATAATGTTTGCTGTTCTGTATCCTTATGTAAATTAATGATTATATATTTTAAAAATTTATTGCAAAAGGAATAAAGAGAATATCATCTGTTTCAGTGTGTTTTTTATTGCTAGCGTTGCCTGTCTACTGGTAGTATTAGAAAGTTCTGTGGGAGTCCCTTGTGTTTTTATTAAACTGGCCCATATGGGATTTGATGTAATTGTTACAGAGTTGGTGATGAAACAGGGTTTATTTTGAGCCCTCCCTGAAGGATGGTGAGAAGTGTCAATCACATTCACTCGTACAAATCAGATGGGTTTAGTTAATTTGCTGTAGTCTGGAAATTTTCTTTTTGTGAATCTGCAGATTTAATTGCATTTCGGATAGGCCTAGCTATTAAATTTACACCGCACTTATTCATATCTGTTTAAGTGATTAAGTGATAAAACTAATATATATATAAAATAATCACACTTAAAAATGGCGAACTAATTACAGTGGTCTCAGGTGTGCGCCTCAAGCCGGTCACCTCTGAGCTGTCAACGCGCCATCGCACTCGTGTGGAGTCGCGCTACTGTGATTGTTTGAAATCAGCATTTTGAGGATTTATGGCCAAAATGGGTAAACTTAATTTTTACGTTATTTGGTCTCTACACGACGCTCCCCGACAGTTCATGAGGTAAGACATGTGCACTGATAACCTGTGTTGTAGTGCAGCCCGCTGCATCTAAATACAATTTTGTCCGTTTGTCTCCAGTAAATCCAATCGCAGGTGTTTTCAGGCGCACATCCCGCTGCCCCTACCCAAACAGCTGGTCATCTTCGGTCTTGGAGAGTGGGGAAATAACGAGACAACCATATCAGTGGAGGTCCTTGTCAGTACTAATGTACAGGCCCAGAATATAGGGACTCTGTCCTCTCGATCAAGGTGTGACATCAGCATGTGGTACAGATGCAATACAGAGCAAATGGGCTCCTCCTCACTTCTAGTTTGAGCAGTGATAAGCAGTTTTATTTTTTAGGTGCCTGACTTGGGAAGGCGAGTGGAATCATGAAATTTCTTCAGTGGCAGCAGAGAGAAGCAGGAAGGGTGTATATGGCAAGATTGTGCTCACAGTGTGTGGGGAGGTATTCATAGTACACCTGGATCTCTCACACTTGTGGTGCAGGTGGACCTGCATATTTATGTTAATTTATGTAACTGCAGCAGGAGAAAGACGGTGTCTTCAGCAGCACTTCACTTATGCATAAGAAATGGTCAGTCCCACAAGGACACAATGAAGTGGATCTTTCAAGCACAATACATCAGAGCACCATGAATGAAACGGTGAGGCTGAAGATATAGTTTGAAAATGTTTTCGGTATCCACATTTTTAAACCCATTTGATTGTTTCTGCAGATGACCCAGAACTGCTCACAATTGTGCAGCAGTGTTTGCTTTGGAGAGATTCAAGTAAATAAAATCGACACCAGTGATTGTGTTGTGCCAAGTCGACTGTCAGCTTGGCCTACAGTAAGACTATCCATATTCCACATTGAAGCCTAAACTTGGTAACAAAATCTGATTTTCCTGTGTGAATAAAGAACAAGACTCCCAGATGGACAATCATCAGTAAAAGAGGTCACCTGACTTGGAGCTCCGAGGACAAGGACAGCCCTGGTGAAGACATAATGCAGTCATCCACCCCCAAGAAGAGGATCTTGTCGGTGAACAGTCCGGATGAAATAACAGAACAGATAAAGAATGAGAACAGAGAAGGTCAGGAACAGTGAGCCATTCTGTTAACATTCTCTTATCAGGTCATAATTTGATTGTTGCCAATAGTGTCAATGTGTCCATCGAAGCGCTGGAGCCACACAATGTGTCTGATTGACCCAGACACTGCTGTTCTCATTGGTGGAGAGACATCAGAGCAGAACTACTGTAAAGACTCTTTGTGGAAACTGGAGCTTGGTCTGCACCTCAAGTTAACACTTGTTGTACTATGCTTTTAACTTTTTGACTTTGATTTTTTTGTATCAATTTATTTGCACATTATTCTTCAGACAATGACTTCTGGTTTCCAATGAACTCCTCTGCTTCTGGGTATGTGCCACCATGTGCCCGGGGCCACTCTGCAACCTTTGACCCTGACTCAAAATCAGTCTTCGTCTACGGTGGCCTGAGGGAGGGTCTTTCTTACAATGAACTGTACATTTTAAACACTATGACCTGGAAGTGGATGCTTGTCAATGTAAGTTTCTATGACCAAAAAGTAACATCTGTTGAAAAACTGACCTGATCCAGATGTTCATGTTTAGACTAAGGGGAGTGTTCCGACTTTGGCGTATCATTCTGCTGCCTTTTATAAGAAGGAGCTTTTTGTTTTTGGTGGAGTTAAGCCAAGCACTTCCTCTGGAGAGAAAAACTGCAGTAATGCTCTGTACATATTTAACCCTGAGTTTGGCCTGTGGTACCAGCCCATTGTGGAGGGAGAAAGACCTCTGCCACGCTTCGGGTTTGTCTCACTTACAATGCCTCTGGTGCACTATGTAACTGGTGGAAGCAAGGCTGCCAATCTGCACTACCAACACTCACATGCACACACAACATTCATACTAGGCATTGTGGGTGTGTAACCTAAGGACACAACCATTTTTGCCACTGTGGCCTCTGGTTTTCCCTGCGGTCTTCCATCCAACTACTAGACAAAACCCAGCCTTGCTTGACTCCTGAGATCTAACGAGATAAGGCCAAACCTCTGTGTCCTGATGTTTACATTGTTCCACAGTATGAGATTAAACATCTCGATGAGCAGGTGGCAGACCGTTCTCCAGAAAAGTGACATAGTGCACCTTTTTAATATAGAGTAAAATGGTCATTGTAAATACATAGTGGCTTATTTTCAACAGGCATTCAGCCACTCTGCTCTCCCATAAACTGATTATTTTTGGTGGCAGAAAAACAGCAACATATCTTAATGATCTTCACATTCTTGATCTAGGTAGGAAGTGATATTTTATTCATCTATCTGTATATACATATATACACATACACACACATTTTTATTTTTGATTGAAGGCTTGATGGAATACACAGCTGTGAAGTGTGAAAACATGCCTCCACTGCCTCGGGGGTAAAGACAAAAATAGTTTATCATAATGTAAATATGTCAAAGCTTAAAATAATTTTCTGTACGGACAGGTTTCACGCAGCAGTCCCTCTTTCAGACAACAGAATTTTGGTAAGTGGTGGTTGCAGTGCCATTGGAGCCCTTCAGGATGTCCATATCTTTAATATAGGTGAGTACATTTTCCTTTTTACTTTACACTGAAGTGTATATTTGATAAATGGTTGGATTTGATAACTTGTCTTACTGTCTCAGATACCAGAATATGGACTTCACTGACTTCACCTTTGCTCTCCTCCAAACCTCGAGCTGGACACAGCATTATTGGTCTGGGCTGCTCCGCTTCATCACACACAGGGAAACAAAAGGACAAGAATGGACCAACCATCTGTCAGTGTAAACTTCTGGTATTTGGTGGGTCTGACTGCGCTGGTACCTTTTACAACGATACAATAAAATGCACTATGGAGATTACTAGTGAAGAATGAGGAAACACTTAAGAAAACACTGACCCAATCTTTTGTATCACAATTTTTAATAAAGATTTATATTCAAATAATAAAAGTTACCTTTTATGAAATGTGTTTGTTCATAATGACTACTCCCACAACATTTGCAATTGTTAATCAAGTACACAACTTCAACATCTTAAGGTTGACGCAAATCATCCGGAGTATCTGGCTGACGTGATGGGTGACTCGTTCTGAAAGCATCAATCTCCACCAAGGTTGCATTCAGCCTTTTGATTGTTGGGTATGGTTCAATGTCCACTTTGAACCTGCAAGCACAAGCCCATCAAATTGACGAATGCTCAATATGTATGCACTACTTTTAAGTTGGTTTGTTTTTATACCTCTCTGCATTGTAGACCTGAGGAACTAGGCAGATGTCAGCCATCGATATCTGAAAGGAAGAAAACCAAAACTAAGTCTAAATCATTGTTTTATTTATTACAGTTGTAGGTTTGACAGCACTCACCTCATCACCAACACAATATTTCCCAGCTGTTTCTTTCAGAATAGGTTCAAGAGCTAAAGGCATAGGTAAAGGGTATATAAGTAATGTTTTAAATACCTGGAAAATCTCAGGTTAAAAGCAAGGACAAAAGCCTCTCACCAACCTTGAAACCCTCGATTGATGAAGTGCTGTGCCCAAGGGACCTTTTCTTCCCCAATTTTCTGTAGCACATACAAATTCTGAAAACAAAAGGATGTGACATATACAAATTAGAATAAACAGTTTTTGGGGATGAATTGGTTTTGGTTTGCTTTTCCAATGTATTTTGTAAACCTCATATATGTCTCAGTGATTTCATGTGGGCTATTTTTACCTGCAGAGGCTGTATCCCTGAGGCAATAAGGTCACTTATCATCCGAACCTGCACACGTTTCTTGGGGTCTACAGGAAGGAGCGGCGTCCCTGGCCTGGTCTCATCGATATACTGAATGATTGTCAGCTGGATGGCCAAAGCATAATCAGTCATCATTATAATCATCCTCTGTAAAGGTGATGTCTTTACACTTACTGATTGAGAAATGGTCATGCCATCAATTTCAACTGCAGGCACTTGCTGCATTGGGTTAAGTTCCTTGTACTGTGGTGTATACTATGAAAAACAGCATTATTATTATTATATTGTTATTGTACATTTAATACCAGTACAGTTATGAGTGGGCTGCAGTACTCTACCTGCTGACCACCATCCTTGATCAGATTAACAGGAACTTGATCATATTCAATGCCTTTAAGTGCAAATGCTAAAGTAAAAAAGTATTACAGTAATTATTTAGCTGTTAATGAAAACATGAGGCTAATCCAACATACAGGAGGAAAGATTGTCAATGACTTACCAATGCGAACCCTCCAGGAACAAGAACTCCTGAAGTATCCATGGAGAACAGGCTAAAACAAAACACAACAGATGAACTGAATGTAGGCCAAAACAACCCAAAGAGGTGTATGTCTCATAGAGCACCTTGGTTGAAGTTGCCATGTCCTAAATTTCTTTCACCAACTACAGAATAACTTTTGGTGATCTGCTTCTACTCTGGAGCAGCCAATAGGATGTGCTCCTAAAATCCCTCCTACATACTACTCTTTGGTCCATGACTAAGCATCTTTGCCATCTGGTTCACATTAGGAGAAGGTCTCTGCTTAAATATGAAATTATAGTGTGAATTGTACCTTAGCTAGATGCACAAAGGACAGGCGCATTGCTTGGGACTTGCGTGCTTAGCGTTGTGAAGTTTATCAAGCCGATGATTCATTTATGTCTTCTTTTTGTCACCTTGCAATGAATGTATTTATATCCGGGTGATCTTTAGGGCAAATTAAGTTAGTTTTAGTTGCTCAATTGCTTTCCCTCTGCCACTATCGCTTCTGGTTACATAATCGCTAAGGTTGTTGCCAATGAAGAATTTATCCAATCAAAATTCTGTTTTTTACAAACAAGGCGGGACGATATGAATGTCTGCACCAAATTGTGGTCAGTCATTGGTGGGTGTGCTCTCTTTTAGCCAATGAACAACCCCAGATTCCTGAAAACCCGCCCCAGGTAGTAGTTTTCTGCACCGAGTAAAGCCTGGAGCTGCGCTGTCTGCTGGTGCTGGCTGCAGAGTCCTGCCCCTGGAGTTCAAAATACAATAATTTCCACCATGGCCTACACAGCTTTAAGAACATTGCTAAAGACAAAGGTAAGGTCAAGTGAATTAATGCATTAGTTGTGTTACATTGTTAGAGACAAGACATTCCACATCGTTTGCTCCAAGTATTATGTGTTGCAAGGATTTGGTTGAGCCCAAGGAGAAAAAATAATTTTTTTTTTGCAGAAAAACTAAAATAAAATAAAAAGTTACATTAATTTTATCCTTTTATAACAAGAAGTTCATCTCCATGCAAACATTATGAACAGAAATATCAATTATATTGACATAATTCCTAAAAAGAACTATTCTTAAAAGTTGACTTTGCCCTCTCTAGCCATGGATTCTTGGGGTTTATTATTAATCTTGTGGTAGAGCTGGTTTAAACTAGAAATTACGTGTACAATTCATTCTTTAACATTGTCCATAGGCCATGTGCAAATCCACCTGTACTTGTTTTACAGATATCACTTAAAACTGGACGCATGTGTTATTCCTCCTCCTCAGTAGTAAGTTTACATAAATTAGGATGTAGACCTAGCTTTTGTTTCACACCACACAGAATGTATTCACATAACTTCATATATTGTTTCTTACACCACAGACAACTGTTAAGCTTTTCATAGATGGGAAATTTATTGATTCAAAGACCTCCGAATGGCTGGATGTCCACAATCCTGTAAGTATAAACCACAAATATAATTAGTGTCATTATGAAACAATATCACTCACTCAATGTCAGGAGGTTAGTTGCCCTTTGACACAGAGTGCTCTCTGGTTGATGATTAGGATGCATTTGCTGCTTTTCCTTATCTTTTACCACAGGCCACAAATGAGGTGACTGCTCGTGTCCCTAAAACCACACAAGAGGAAATGTTAGCAGCTGTAGACTCCTGCTCCAGAGCCTTTCACACTTGGTCTGAAACCTCTATCTTGGCCAGACAGCAGGTGTTTCTGCGATATCAGCAGCTTATCAAGGACAACATTGTAAGTCAAAGGATCTAGAAGTTGTTCCCACAGTCCCACTTGTTTATTATAATTGGTCTAATTTCAGAAAGAACTTGCAAAGAACATCACAGTTGAGCAGGGCAAAACTCTGGCAGATGCAGAGGGCGACGTATTTAGAGGACTGCGTAAGTTTCTCCTGTCCATACATAATTATTCAGATTCTTGACAATATAATAATTAATTAATTTGAATTACTACTATTTTTTGACCTATTTATGCAGTCACAATGCCTGTTTACTTATTATACAAAATCCACATATTGTATAAGTATTGCATTGTAACTCCAGTACAATGTGACAATGTCAGAATATCAAAATGTGTATTCATCCATCCATCCATCCATTTTCGTTTGCTTATCCGGGGCCGGGTCGCGGGGGCATCAGCCTAAGAAGGGACTCCCAGACTTCCTTCACCCCAGACACGTCCTCCAGCTCCTCCGGGGGAACCCCGAGGCGTTCCCAGGCCAGCCGAGAGACATAGTCCCTCCAGCGTGTCCTGGGTCTTCCCCGGGCCTCCTCCCGGTGGGACATGCCCGGAACACCTCCCGAGGGAGGCGCCCAGGAGGCATCTGGAACAGATGCCCGAGCCACCTCAACTGGCTCCTCTCGACGTGGAGGAGCAGCGGCTCTACTCCGAGCTTCTTCCGTGTGACTGAGCTCCTCACCCTATCTCTAAGGGAGCGCCCAGCCACCCTGCGGAGGAAACCCATTTTATTTTGTATCCGCGATCTTGTCCTTTCGGTCACTACCCAGAGCTCATGACCATAGGTGAGAGTAGGAACGAAGACTGACCGGTAAATCAAGAGCTTCGCCTTTTGGCTCAGCTCCCTCTTCACCACAACGGTCCGACACAGCGACCACATCACTGCCGAAGCTGCACCGATCCGCTTGTCAATCTCACGTTCCGTCCTTCCCTCACTCTTGAACAAGACCCCGAGATACTTGAACTCCTCCACTTGAGGCAAAGACTCCCCACCCACCTGGAGAGGGCAAGCCACCTTTTTCCGGTCGAGAACCATGGCCTCAGACTTAGAAGATCTGATCTTCATCCCAGCCGCAGTGCACATTGCAGGTCCGGGTTCGATGAAGCCAACAGGACAACATCATCCGCAAACAGCAGAGATGAGATCCTGTGGTCCCCAAACCGGACCCCCTCCGGCCCCTGACTGCACCTAGAAATTCTGTCCATAAATACAATGAACAGAACCGGTGACAAAGGGCAGCCCTGGCGGAGTCCAACATGCACCGGGAACAGGTCTGACTTACTGCCGGCAATGCGCAATGCGAACACAGCTCCTGCTCCGGTCATACAGGGACTGGACAGCCCTTAGCAAAGGGCCCCAGACCCCATACTCCCAGAGCACCCCCCACAGGACACCACGAGGGACACGGTCGAATGCCTTCTCCAAGTCCACAAAGCACATGTGGACTGGTTGGGCAAACTCCCATGAACCCTCGAGCACCCGATGGAGAGTGTAGAGCTGGTCCAGTGTTCCACGGCCAGGACGAAAACCACACTGCTCCTCCTGGATCCGAGGTTCGACTATCGGCCGGATTCTCCTCTCCAGTACCCTGGCATAGACCTTACCGGGAAGGCTGAGGAGTGTGATCCCCCTATACTTGGAACACATCCTCCGGTCCCCCTTCTTATACAGAGGGACCACCACCCCGGTTTGCCAGTCCAGAGGTACTGTCCCCGACCGCCACGCGATGTTGAAGAGGCGTGTCAGCCAAGACAGCCCCACAACATCCAGAGACTTAAGGTACTCAGGACGGATCTCATCCAAACCCGGAGCCTTGCCACCAAGGAGCTTTCCAACCACCTCAGTGACTTCAGCCAGGGTGATGGATGAGTCCGCCTCCGAGTCCCCAGCCTCGGCCTCCTCCTCGGAAGACATGACGGTGGGATTGAGGAGATCCCCAAAGCATTCCTTCCACCGCCGGACAACGTCCCCAGTCGAGGTCAGCAGCTCTCCCCCCGCACTGGAAACAGTGTTGGCGAAGAACTTCTTCCCCCTCCTGAGGCGCCGGACGGTTTGCCAGAATCTCTTTGAGGCCGTCCGATAGTCCTTCTCCATGGCCTCCCCGAACTCCTCCCAGCTCCGAGTTTTTGCCTCTGCAACCACACGGGCTGCAGCACGCTTGGCCCGCCGGTACCCGCTGCTTCAGGAGTCCCCCGAGCCAGCAAGGCCCGATAGGACTCCTTCTTCAGCTTGACGGCATCCCTTACTTCCGGTGTCCACCACCGGGTTCGGGGATTGCCGCCGCGACAGGCACCACAGACCTTACGCCCACAGCTCCGAGCAGCCGCATTGACAATAGAGGCCGAGAATGAAGCCCACTCGGACTCCATATCTCCAGCCTCCCCCGGAATCCGGGAGAAGTCCTCCCAGAGGTGCGAGTTGAAAGTCCCTCTGACAGAGGGCTCCACCAGACGTTCCCAACAGACCCTCACTACACGCTTGGGCCTGCCAGGTCTTTCCGGCTTCCTCCTCCGCCAGCGAACCCAACTCACAACCAGGTGGTGATCAGTTGACAGCTCAGCCTAGGGTGTCCTAGTGCCACGTGCACTTATGGACACCCTTGTGCTCGAACATGGTGTTCGTTATGGACAAACCGTGACTAGCACAGAAGTCCAATAACAAAACACCGCTCGGGTTCAGATCAGGGAGGCCGTTCCTCCCAATCACCCCTCTCCAAGTGTCACTGTCGTTGCCCACGTGGGCGTTGAAGTCCCCAAGGGGAACAACGGAGTCCCCGGTCGGTGCACTGTCTAGTACCCCTCCCAAGGACTCCAAGAAGGCCGGGTACTCTGCACTGCTGTTCGGCCCGTAGGCCGACACCACAGTGAGAGACCTGTCCCCGACCCGAAGGCGCAGGGACGCGACCCTCTCGTTCACCGGAGTGAACTCCAACGCACAGTGGCTGAGCTGTGGGGCAATGAGCCCACACCAGCCCGCCGCCGCTCCCCGCGGCCAACGCCAGAGAAATGGAGAGTCCAGCCCCTCTCAAGGAGTTGGGTTCCAGAGCCCAAACTGCGTGGAGGTGAGACCGACTATATCTAGTCGGTAACGCTCAACCTCCCGCACAAGCTCAGGCTCCTTCCCCCCCAGCGAGGTGACATTCCATGTCCCCAGAGCTAGTCTCCATGTCCGGAGATCCGGTCGACGAGGCCCCCGCCTTCGACTGCCGCCCAGATCTCTTTACACCGGCCCTATATGGCTCCTCCCGCGGGTGGTGGGCCCACGTGAGGACGGCCCCACGTCGCTCCTTCGGGCTGAGCCCGGCCGGGCCCCATGGGGGAAGGCCCGGCCACCAGGCGCTCGCTGACGAGCACCCACCCCAGGCCTGGCTCCAGGGTGAGGCCCCGGTGACGCCAGTCCGGGCGACGTAACTGACCTCTGTGTGTGACTCATCATATGGGACTTCTGAACCGTTCTTCGTCTAACCCGTCCCCCCGGACCTGTTTGCCTTGGGTGACCCTACCAGGGGCATGAAGCCCCCGACAACATAGCTCCCGGGATCATTCGGGCACTCAAACCCCTCCACCACGATAAGGTGACAGTTCAAGGAGGGGATGTGTGTGTATTCAATGTGTATTCAAGACAGATAAAATTACGACGTTATTCAGATGCTTTATGCATCTGCCCATACCAACTCCCGCACACTCCTTTTTGTATCTCTGTACATTTCAGAGGTTGTGGAGCATGCCTGCAGCATCACCTCTTTGATGCTGGGTGAAACTCTCCCTTCCATCACTAAAGACATGGACACTTACACCTTTCGCCTGCCCCTTGGAGTATGTGCTGGCATTGCCCCTTTCAACTTCCCTGCCATGATTCCCCTGTGGATGTTCCCTATGGGGATGGTGTGTGGAAACACATATCTCCTGAAGCCGTCTGAGCGGGTCCCGTCCTGTGCTATGCTGCTAGCCGAAATGCTCCAGGATGCTGGTGCTCCAGACGGGACACTTAATATTATCCATGGCCAACATGATAGTAGGCACACATGTACATTTAATAGTTTTTTGTTATGTGACAGCCACCTACAAACTTTATAATTTCTTCCCAGCTGTAAACTTCATCTGTGACCATCCAGCTGTTAAAGCAATCAGCTTTGTGGGCTCAAATCAAGCTGGGGAATATATTTATGAGAGGGGATCCAAAAATGGAAAGAGAGTTCAGTCCAACATGGTGAGTCGTCCAAAATAGAGCGTTCTTGGATACTTCTTATTTTGTACAGCAGGTGGCAGCATTGTTCAACAGATGATTATGATGTGTGTCTGCTGCTCCTCATAATCTCTGTGGTCTGTAATACATCTTGAAACACTGAAAAAAAAAGTTAATTTTATTTACTATTATTAAATCAAATGTGTTAAGGTTCACAATCACTGTATGCTTGTTCTAGGGAGCAAAGAACCATGGTGTGGTGATGCCAGATGCAAACAAGGAAAACACTCTGAATCAGCTAGTGGGTGCTGCATTTGGTGCAGCTGGTCAGCGCTGCATGGCCTTGTCCACAGCCATCCTGGTAGGAGAGGCCCGGAGCTGGCTACCTGAGCTGGTGGAGCGAGCAAAGGCTCTGCGTGTCAACGCAGGTAATGCACCTGCACATGGGAATTTACTCCTCAGACACACTACATCTCTAGGGTCATGGCTGTAGTCATATGGGGGCCACCCATGCCGCTTTAACCACACCTTTGCCCTTTGCGTGATTCTCACTTCTCTTTGGTCTCGGCTGGTATATAGCTCTTGATGAGCCAGCCATACTGGCCGTTTGTGGCCACATCTGCAGCAAGGGCCTAGTGGTTTAGAACAGATCCTTTGAAAAAGAAAGTTAATGTGTGATAAATTGGAGTACAAGTCTCACCATTTTACATGATGTGGACTTGAATTAGTGTCACATACAGGAAACCTGTAAGTATGCGTTTTGAAGGAGTGACTGTGGGTGCCCCTCATCCTGTGTCTGTGCAAACTGCATTTTTTGAATGTCAGTGCCATGATCTGCACCTCGCATCATGCTAGAGCTATTGTGTGTAACCTTATAGCTGGTTGTTTTGTGGGGCCATGCCAGGAGACCAGCCTGGTGCAGATGTGGGGCCCCTGATTTCTCCCCAGGCCAAGGCCAGAGTGTGCAGTCTGATTCAGAGTGGCGTGGATGAGGGAGCTCAGGTTCTCTTGGATGGCCGAGATGTGAAGGTCAAGGGTTATGAGAATGGCAATTTTGTGGGACCAACCATCATAGGCAATGTCACAGTATGTGGATCTATGCTTCTATCCAAACAAGAAAATGATAATGATAATGATAATGAAGACCTCTAAACTGCTAGTTACAATGTTGACTTCTCTATTCCCACAGCCCAAGATGAAGTGCTACACTGAGGAGATCTTTGGCCCAGTTCTGGTTGTTCTTGAGGCAGAGACTCTTGACGACGCCATCAAAATGGTCAACGGGAATCCCTATGGCAACGGGACGGCTATTTTCACCACAAATGGTGCCACTGCACGCAAATACACTCACGAGGTGGACGTGGGCCAGGTGAGCGTCTCTAGACTCCAAATGTGTTTTGGTAGAAAGGAGACATTCACATCCCTCTGTCATGTCAATACAGCATACCAAACAGGGAACACCTTAGTCAGAAATCTTTCTTGCTTTACAAATATTATTTTTCTTGGCTATGCTAATCTGTTTGCCCCTAACCCAAAATACACATATTGGCTGAACTTTTCCCTCCACTTCTCTAGAAATAGGTACTGCAAATACCTGTGAATTTATGAAAAAAATAGAAGTACACAGTTTTCCAGTTAGTAATCGAGGAGGGAAACTCGTAATTAAACCTCAAAAGGGATTTCTCAGGTCTGCTCACCGTTGTGTATAAATACAGCCATCCCTGACCCTGTTTGTTTGCCTGTGGCATTGAGCTATGCACTGTTTGCTGTTCACATGACCAAACTCTACACCGACTATGTGCTGTTTTCTCCAATCCTGGCTGCAATAAACATCAACTTTCCTTTTTCTTTTTTTCCCACACCTAGCCAAAAGGTCTCATTGTGTCCAACCGTACTCTCATCATTTCAAACATTCAAAACCCAACAATGCCATTTTCTCGTTGCCATCATAACACAATGTTTATTTAGCCTCTCATAAGCACATGTTGTGCTTTCAAAAGGGTAAATATATGCCGCCAGTTTAGTTTTGTTTTGATATCATGTGACCTTGTTTTCTCTTTTTCAACTGTACTGATGTACCGCATCATTATAGCAATTAAGCATCCACAAATGTTTCATGTTCTGTGCATTTTTGAAAATGGGTAAACTACTATCATGCAGGTTGGAGTGAACGTACCTATCCCTGTTCCACTTCCTATGTTCTCCTTCACTGGCTCAAGAGCATCCTTCAGAGGAGACATGAACTTTTATGGAAAGCAGGTAAGACCCGCATTTTACAAACTACTTAGCATTAATTCAAATCTTGATATGTGTACTGCTTTCATAGTATTACTGGTTGAATTCACTTTCATGTGTCTCAAGGGAATCCAGTTCTACACACAGATCAAAACTGTCACTTCACAATGGAAAGCTGAAGATGCTACACTCAAAAGTCCAGCTGTTACCATGCCAACAATGGGACGCTAATATCATGTAAAAGGTGTTTTAAAACCATCTTTATATGCTCCTTGCATACTGATTTAACATCACTATGCCGATTGGATAGCAGAACAACAAGAATTCAAAATACTTGTAAAATAAAAGCCCTAGTCCTTAATCGGACAATACAGAGTACTATAATGTTACATAGTGTTACACAATGTATTTACAAAACCTTTGCATTTTACATGACAGCTGTGTAGAATTGTATTCCTATTAATTTAATAAAACAGAGTATATTTCTCCAACTTCTGCCTCAAAACCGCATTTATTGGTAAAATAGTGTGAGCTCCAGAGGCCACACAGAGGTCAGGCTGGGTGTATATGGGGCAGGCTGCTGGGGTTGGAGGGGAGAGTGGACGCGGATGCCTGCGTGAGGAAAGTGGAGGGCTCCTTCTTTCATTCTGAAAGACAAAGTCATTATATTATAACTCTAATAAATCACACTTTTGCAGGTTCCCACAGCCAATACTTTTCCAGCTCTGCATGGAATGTGGGACCAATAAATCTCCACAGACTTCATAATTGCAAGTATGAGGTACAACTTTTATTCTAGTACATTCCTTTAGCGTCTTACCTGGCAGCATCACTGTCAATGAGGTTCTTCTTCTCTGGAGGGGCAGACAGAGTGAAATTTTTGCTGTTCTTTCTGTCAGGAAAACACAGAGTTGCATTAAATACAAAACTGATATTAAAAAGTTCTGTTTGGCATCCTAGAGCCATTTCACTTGGGCCTGCTGCTGTTCTGGACAAGGGGTAACTCTGGGTCAGTACAACAGACTTGGGTTTACTGTAGTTTCAAGCAGCTAACTGTCTTTACTTGCCAAGTGTTCTGCTGCACTTGTAGGTGCCAGACCACTGCTAACATGAATATACATCTCCTCCTGTCTGCCATTGGCCCATACCAACTCCCGCACACTCCTTTTTGAAAATCATGTTACCAGCTGCTCAGTGACCACAAGTGTTCAAAGAATAAAATCCACCCGAGGGCACGTGAAGAGGGCCCAATCGCCTGAAAGCAAATGGACGTGACCAGATGTTTGTTTCCAAGCACACGACTCTGTGGCCGGGCCTATTTTTACTATTGTGCCCAGACTCTTTCTTCATTCTTTTTAAGCAGCTGGATGGAAAAGAAAATTGGTTAAAGCCTAACTGATGTTTTATGGTATCCTCTTCGCAGAGAAAATGTCTGTTTAAAACATTAAAAGAGGGAGGAGTCAGCAGAAGTTCAGCTGGAGTTATTCTGTGGCATCACAGCATTTGGTTTTTCAAAGATAAATGATCTCAAAGTGGTTTACACAGCATTATCGCCTGTGAAGTCATTGGATGACTTATGCTCTAGAAACCTGACAAACAAAACTGTCTTCTGTCATTACCTTTCAGCCTGTCCATTCATTTTTGCAAAAAGATGCCTCAAGACGTGTTCTTTTTGCTCCCAAGTAAGATCGGAGATTTCTACTTTACTGCCAGCCTGGTGAGTCCTAAACAGACACAGAAAGGTTCAATTATGATAAAGGGCAGCCTCACACATAAATAATGTGGACCCACCACTTGGCAGCCGCTTCCATGTCTGAGTAGACAGAGTTGGTACTGTGAGGGATTTTGTGAAAATTGCGAATGGGTGGAAACTTAATTTTCCCCCCATTGGCTTCCTTGAGTGTCCAACGATAAGCCTGTAGTGCATCTTTCTTGTATTTGGATCTGCTGACCATGACCTCTTGCTTGACCTCTGCCAATGCTTCATGAAAGAACCTCTCCAACTCTGTCCTCTGCTCCACAATCACTGCTGCCAGCCTCTTGATGTGGGACAGCTCCTTATCACGCATACTGAGTACCTTCTGCAGTTTGTCCAGCTCCACCTGGCCAGCTTCAGAAGACACCAACATTTGCTTCTGCTTCTCTTCTTCCTGCTTCAATTGGAATTCCTTTTGCTTTAGGGCCTCCTCCAGTGACGCAACTTTGGACTGGAGCTGTGACAGCTCTTCTTGTTGAACAGAGATCTGGGCAGCATTCTTCTTCATTATACCCTCGTATGTCTTCTACAAAAATATAAAGATGCATGTGTATTAAGCACAGAGCACCAACATTATTTTTTATTATTGAACTGCAGTTTGTGATAATCTACCATACTAATGAGCTGTCATCATGAGACTAAGACTAACATGGCCACTGTTTGCTTACTGGAGAGAATCACTGACAGAAATCTGTAAAGTGGCCATTGATTCTACATGAGTGGAAACTGACCACAGCCACAGACCAGAAGCTGGCGGCCATCAGTAGGGACCACAAGTAAAATACACAAGTTCTGTGCATGTAAACAAAGAAGGAAAATAACGGATGTCATTTTCTCTACTGATTCAACATGTCATTTTTAGATGAACCAAGTCTGAGTCAGTTTTGTAAAAGCATGACAGTGACTGCAGTAGCTGTATTATCTTACCTTGTCCAGAAACATTGTGTGACCTTACCTTGTCCAAAAACAAGGCATCATTTTGCTTGATCAGAGACCGGTTACGTTTTTGCAATTCTTCAGTTTCCCTCATGTGAAGCTTTAGGGTTTCATTCAAACGTACATTTTCTCTAAAGACTGATCGTGAGGCATCATCCAGCTGTCTAAACAAGCAAAACAAACAACAAACTTCAACACAGTGAATGGCAAATCAGGACACAGTTTATACAGCAACATACATATATATAGAGCATGACTACATTTAGTTGATATTCAGTTTTAGTCAGATACATATATTCTAAGCCTAATGGCTAGGCAAACTTGGTTGGTTGTGTGTGTCCAAAATTAAATCAATTACTGAAAGATAAACCGAAGAAAACCGGACCACACCAGCATCAGTGTTGATATGTTATGAGCTGTAAAATGTAACTAAACATAGCAGAGGAAAGATGTTCATCTTTAGGCCTCAAAAGTAATAAACTTCCTCCCTGTGGGAGTTTCCGAGACGGTGAAGCATGTGATCATTGGCGACAGAGATGTACACTATCATAAACGTGACAAAACAGTGTGGTGGAGAAAATAACATCGGGGGTTATATATATTTATGTACATATACTGTACATCTAAAAGGGACAATTATTCTTTTCTGTGCCTTGGAGTTTCCTACAGGTGCACACGAGTGGACAGGGAGGCACACTCACACAACCGCTTCACTGTGGGCCCTCTGCACCACCAAAGAGATGGTTTTCTCCGCTTCCTCCTCCAATCGAGCCTGTCGCAAAATATACACCTCACCGTTACACTGGACACACGCTTTTGATATTTCATGTTTTCCTATAGGTCTACAGTAGAACAAAACATTTGAATTACCCACTTCGATTCTTTGTATGATTTTAATGACATACCTTTTCTTTAAAAAAATCATACTCCACTTTGTTGAGGTCTTCCCTGTGTCTCTTTTCAGCTTTCTCCATGCTTTCTCGAATCTAAATCACAAAAGCAATAGGTAAAAGTCCTACTTTGCAAAGATATAAAATGGAGCCTATGGGGGAAACTTACATCAGCAACCTCTTGTTCCATTTGTGCTTTCTGGATCTCAAATGCTTTAATTCTTCTCATCCCCTCTTCTATCATGCTGAAGTCTTTTGACCGTTTCTCGAACAGTTCCTTCATCTCATTCAATTGTTGTGTGTATTCGGAAATCTACAAAAATGCATAAAGATACAGGAGAAATCTAAGGTTAAAGCACATCTCCGTATAAGTTCAAATAAAAAGTCCAGATCTCTTTAGGTTCACACAGGCCAAAGTCATGATGGACTAGTAAAACATGCAACCACAAGCATGTAATGACTGAGACTATCTACCACTGAATTGCTCCCATAGGCCTAATTACTATGACAAGTCTTTATTCAAGCAAACAGAAGCCTATATAAATAAATCTATATAATTATAACATGCGCTGCCACTTGATAAGACTCAAGTGGGTTGCACAGGCTAGATCTGAATAGGCAAGATTAAAGGATTTGATTTCTGCCACATCCTTATATCAGTAAATAATAAAACATACTTCAGGTCATATGCAGCTTTCACCACAAAATGACATGATTGTTTTCTGTTCACGACACATAAGAAAGCATAGTGGCAGCAGCAGAAATATTAAGTTGGTCCAGGCCATGTGTCTTTTCTTTCTATTTCAGAAGCGTATTGGTCTCATTTAGTAGCATTAAACCAGTGCCTGAGATGGAAAACATCTGCTGGCAAACGCAAGCAAAACGTTTTGCTCACTTGTGAGCCATAAGCCACTTAAATATTGTCGTGTCTGTTTGATTGCTTGGTCCCTAAAAGCAGCACAAGTCAGTGTGGATAAAAAGGGACATATATATCTCTTTGTTGTGTGTTATGCAACTGGTCACTGGTGGACATGTGATGTAGGCCTATGGTCAACACATCAGGGCCAGAGAGACGCCTTTTCCAAACCAAGCACTTTCTTTTCTCTGGCCAGTGTAATGTGACTCTGTGCTGTTTTCTTAAATGGCAACATAATTACACACAAGAAAGCTGTTAAATACAAAGCAAAGCACAGTTTGAACAGTTTAGTAGTCAAGTCACACGTGTGTAACCCGCCTGGAGTAATGCAGATCATTGTGTGTTTTTAGAATTTAGAAGACTTGCACAGTGGTGGAGCCCATTTTGGTCCTGTTTGAGCTACTTATAGTAGGCCTATTGATTGTTGCCATTCCTAATTTGCTGTGATGACTTCAGTGCTGTAATTTAGAATCTGTGGTAGACCATCCTAGGTGCAGCTGACTTCTCTGCTCACTGCAGAGCTTGTGTCATACTCACCAGCTGCTTCTCCCGGTCACGTGCTTGTGCTGTCTGGTTTTTAAGGGTTTCCTGCAGCGAACGAATCTGCACAAACAAAATCAGATGAATTTGGTCCAACTCAGTTTAGCAGGCAACACAATTTGTAAAGAAATGATAGAAACCTTTTCCTCCTTGGATGCATCTTGCTTGTTGAAGAACCAAGTGGTGTCAACGCTATCCTTCTCTACGCGGTACAGGTCGTTGGTTAGTTCTTCATTCGCCCGGGCCAGCTTTCTGCAAGACTCTCGGTACTGCGTCAGGGACTGTTCCGTGACCTGCAGCCTCAGCTCCCACAGAGCCGCGTTGGAGCGGGCCTTCTCCAGGTCCGACTCCCGGTCCACTTTGGATTCTTGTTTACCATCCTTTTTCCCTTTGCTGGGGAAACGCAAAATAAAGCAAAACCCTAATTCAGCGTTGGCTAAATCGGTAAACAAAAATAAATCTGTGAATGGGACTTACCCGGCTTTTGCCTTTTTCGTTTTGATGGCTTTCTTTTTGGGCATGTCTGCTGCGTCAACTAACGTGAAATAACACTACGTAAATAGTTATATTCTAAGACGAGGAGGTCGAAAGATTACTCGCAATAATTCGCACAACGGCTAACTTAGGGCCACAAAAGTAAGGCTAACGCTAATGTGGCCCTCCGGGTGTTTGTTTACTGTTGTCATAGAGACGGGCCTGAGAGAGGTCACGTTTCATCAAGTATCAAATATCCCCCCCACACCTCACCGAGAGACTTTTTTTATTTCACGTATTCACGGGAATAACAGTGGATGGGATGGTTGAGTGGTAGGGCAATTGGAAGGATAGCAGCTCTATTTGGATAGACTTCACGCCTAATGTAGATCTATGGTGGTGCTTTAATAAAAAAATGAAAAAAAGTTCTACAGTTGCCAAGGTGACACAATGCACACATTAGCAAACACTGTCAAAAAAGTTTTAAAATAGTCGGAAAACTCAAGAAAAAATACAAAATGGATTTAAACAACACATTTCCTGTGATCAATACGAGTGTGCAGTCTAAAAGAACTTAAGACTGAGGAGTGCCTCTAGTTAGCTTCACATCCCTGGGGAATGTTAATGACATCATCTGCTATCTTCATGCTGTGTTTTTCATTGATTTGTAGTGGCAGAGGCAGTTGACGCAGATTGGCAGACATGTCTATCAATCAGCCCCAGGGCAGCTGTGGCGAGAGAGGTCCCTTCTCTCACCACCTGGTTTATGAAGTGAACAAATGCAATGTGCAGGCATTAGACCCATGCAGGATTTCACAAGATGACTATGGATATTTACATATGTCCATCCACAAGCAGACATTGAGCTGTTGAATAGGTACAGATGTGCACTCAACACCAGGGTGTTATGTTGACATAAAATGGTGGCACTTGTCACTTGTCTTGTAATTATAGCTTCCTCATCAAACAGGATCTGTTTGCACATGGTCTCCTCCCACACCATGACATGAGATAGGCCCACATTTGGCTCTTGTCAGCGGTATTGTCTGTTGTCCTAAAAAGAACTGCATGTTACCCAAAGCAATCCCCACAGTTGTTTTGAACAGGAGTTATGGGAAAACCACAGAGATGGAGAGGTGCACTAAAGTTACCATGGCTCATAGCTTAGTTTGCATCAGATATGTTGTTCAGTGTTCAGCAGCAGCTGACTCTGGATTATTCATGAAACACAAGTTGATATGGCCAAGTGCTGGGTGTAGCTACTGTAAACTGGATCATATAGGCTTGTTCACGGCTCTGGCATCATGAACAAAGTTTGGGAACTAAATTTAAAGGTAATTACTATGACAGTGAGGAGAGAAAACTGAAATAACCTTGAGCTTTTCAAAGCTGTCATTATCATTGGAATTGTAATGACAAGCTTTGGGTCTCTTCAATGGACTTGTTGGGGTAGGACACCCACAAACATGGCATTCCTGTGGGCAACATTGCAGCATATTAATGATACATTGCACAGTGTAGATTACAAAGCTGGTGCCCTGTCTTAAGCATTTACGGTTTCTGTTAACTTGAAGCCAAATGCCAAACCTTGGACTGAAGCATGCTCTGCTTTAAAACATTTCATTTGTAAAGTGCTGCATCATGTAAAAACAAACAGGCGTGGGCAGACGAAATGTAGTCAGCCACAACTGTTGCATGCAAAAAGATAAAGATGAAATCTGTAATTGTTGGTAGTTGCATGTAAATTAAAACCCACATGTGCAGTGTTGCTCAAAAATCTGGGTTTGCGCTCAAACTATTGATTTTACGCAGGATATTATCACCAATTGTGTACATAATATAATGGAGAATACATTTTCTAGCACGTTATTTTCATGTGTTGCAGTCTGTGATTTAACATGCAAACATGCTGGTAAGTCATATTGGCAAGTCAGTGAGAGGTCCTGCACATGTATTCTTTGATAGGGGCAACAACCATTCTGGTTAGCCGCAAGATTGAAAAAAGTAGCCACAGTGTTTAGAAAAAAGGAAGGAGGAAAAAAGTCCAATATTTTTAGTTCAAATTACAGTGTTGGAACAGTGCTTTGCGAAGTCGAGTGTCCTGGGAGTGGAATGGCATGATGGGTGAACATTGGTGCCAAGCCCCACCCTCGCACATTGTCCTTTCCATGGACTTCCTGCACTTTGCAGTGCCCATCTGAGACCTCTGCCCTCCCCTTACCCTCTGATTCTAAGCAGTACATGGCTCAGTCACCACTGCACCCTGTGAAACACTGTCACTCAAGTGTATGTGCTCTGAATCAGCCTAAATTAGCCTCATTCAGATTATTAGGCTGCCTAATAATCTAGGCCAGGGGTGAGCAGTTATTTTTTCCCAGAGGACCATATTCAAATCCAGGCAGCAGAGGGGTGCCCGCGGTGCCCAGTTCTGAACCAGGGATTCTAGAGTTCCTCTGGTTCCACTATGGTTCTCTTACAGTTTGTAAACAACATTACACAGTGAATTCATGTAGGACAGGAGCAAGTCCAGCAAGTCCCTTTGCTTATTGTGCTGGTCCCAAGCCTGGATAAATGCATTTTAACCTTATTTACTCTACAAATGAAAAACACAAAGAGGTGGAAAACTGGTGGTTTGAAATGTTTGTAATGTCCAATTATGTGTTTGGCTTGTCTTGAATGTGATCGTGCATGTATTGATGCCTTTAGGCTACATTATATCACCATGCGCTCAAATCTCCTGAACTCTGACCGGAGGCAGTGGCAGTTTGGCAGTATGTTATACTGCTGTGCTACCAACCGCCCACCTACATCAGAAACAGCCACTCAATCGCTTCATGCACACTCTGAAACGTGCCCAAATATTTCCTCTGGAATCCAGCGGTCAGCAGCACGTTGAGTGGGAGTAATGTAACATTTTAAATGTTAATGTCACTTAAAACAGCTGGGGAATAGGTCGCATTTTATTTTATTTACTTTTTATTTCATTTTCACAGCAACTTTTTCTTGCCGGCACGCACGTGACATTAAAAATGTTATGGATTTTTTATTCTTTAAAGCATAAAACGTTGCACATGCCTCTGCAGTTGTAAATGCAAAATTTCATGTCTTATTATAGGCAAAGGCAAATTTACGCACACATTAAGTAGGCTGTTCTTGCTCCAGGCGAGTCACAGAAAAGGCTTAAAAAGCACCTATAAAAGTATTTTAAGAAGACTGCTTATTCCAAGATTCTTCATTCACTCTTTCATGTAGGCCTAGTCCTTTTCTTCAAAGAGGACTTTCGGGTACCAGAATAGTGCGTAAAGTTGAGGAGGGGAGAATTTAACTCCCAAAATATTCCATGAATGGGAAAAAAAAGCAGAAAAGTTGCCGGGTAGCAGGTAGTATCAGCGCCCGGTGGGAGGAGGAGAGGAGGAGGTGATGGGGACCCCTGAAGGAGCGGGGATGGACTGCCACACGATTGGTGGACGGCTGCTCGCGTTGTGGCCCTGTGCCAAGCCCTTATGTCTTTATATAGTGTAAAGAGATGAGCGGACAGTCCTGAGTGTGTATCGCATCCACACTGCAGCTCCTCTGCTCCTTCTGCCTCTCCTCAGGACCCTCAGAGTCTGCTACTGATCCACTTCTTTCTCTGCGCCTATCTTCACTGCGAACACCATGGTCTCCGTCAGACTACTGCTCTCTGTGTGCGTGTGGCTTCTATTTGGGAGCCTCTCCACAGAGGCGACCTACTACCGCCACCACCGCTACATCCCCATCTATTATCGCTACCGGGAACACTCTGCCAACACTGAAAACCTCCTCCCCGAGGCATCCAACCCCGCGCCTCGAGTGCCCACTCACCCTCGGGTTCCAGAAGTCTTCCACCCTGCACCTGAGCCGATCCACCCCATCCCCGAGGCATTTAACCCCGTACCTGAAGTGGTTCATCCCGCTGCACCTGAGCCTTACCGCCCACATGAGATCCCCCAGTCGGCACCTCAAGCTCCCTCTCCTGTCAATATGAGTCGGGTCTTCCATGGGATCATGTTTGACGCCGGGAGCACAGGCACCAGAATCCACATCTATAAGTTCATCCAAAAGGACCCGGGTAAGTCCTCTCTCTCATTCTGGCTTTGAGGTTTCTGCTGGCTCCCACTGTCTGCTGTTAGCTCATTCACTCTATGGTGTAATGCGAACCACGCTCCAGCTGCAGGCACATGCTTCACTTCTAAAAGCAGCTCAATGAACTTGAAATGTGTTGACTTGTGTGTATGTGTAGGAACATAGTCAATTAAACTCTGAATGTAGGTCAAATGCATGAGACTAAATATCCAAACCAAGCAATTAAATGCACCAGTGTTTATTTCACAACCACAAGACATCACATTAAGTGGTCACTGGGTTTGTGTTCTGGCTTTTGTAGTTGAGTTGCCGGTCCTGGACAATGAGATGTTCCATGCTGTAAAGCCTGGCCTGTCTGCTTACAAAGAGAATCCTGAGGAGGTATGTTTGTAGACGCTTTCTGTGTAGTTTTTATTAATGATCAGGTATATTAGGGAGGTGTCTGTCTGGTACAAACCACAAAAGTGCGAGGGCTTTCCAAGAGTTGGGTGTATGTAACATTGTGCAATTATCAAAATGTGTAGTGCTGACGCTGTCACTCCTATCTACCATTTACATCAGGTATTTTGTTTCTGTATTCTGGATGTTTGTCTATAGGGCGGCAACACCATTCGCCAGCTGCTGAAAATAGCAAAGAAGACAGTTCCAGAGGAGGACTGGAGGAGGACCCCAGTGGTGCTGAGAGCCACTGCGGGGCTGCGCCTGCTGCCCCAGGAACAAGCCAACCGCCTTCTGAAGGAGGTGAGGCCTCAGACTGTTTGGCACATGAGCCAACCGTCCCGCCGGGGAACGTGAAGAGAAACCACTAACTGCTTACAAGTGTCACTGGAAAAAGAGGCAGCAAGTCTGCCCATTTGGTGGTCATTATGTAGCAAAAACAGCTGTTGTGAGGTTGTGTGGAGTAACCATATTTGTCATTTACCATATTAAATCTAGGCTACTGTTTCAACCATGCATGTGGTTAGGTTATCTGTCAGTCCAGGGTTAGTCATAGTGCTCTGTTGTAAACAGTTGAAAGCATGTAACTGACATTTTTGTCTCATAGGTGAAAGAAGTATTCGATGAGTCTCCATTCTTTGTGCCAAACAACAGTGTTTCCATTATGCCCGGAACAAATGAAGGTATTATATATTTACCAATTTCTGTTGACTAACCTCTCCACTCCATAATGCCATAATATTCCAGAGATATTTTTACTGTCATAATTAGGAGATGCATTACTACTACTGTAGTTTATGTCCACACCCAGTAATTGTGAGCAATTTTCCAGAGTTCTCATTAAGGCTCCCTGAGTGTGTCATGTGTCATCACACACTTTACAAGTGCAATAACCTAACATCAGAGCCGACTGCAATCCTTCATGTCAGACCAACTCAGCTGTTTTAACATGAGCTAATGAAGCCAAGCTTGACACAATTCTTCTGTCAACACTTTTGAAATACAAATATAGAGGTCTTAATTCAGTTACTTGCAGTGTCAGGATTTCACTAATGCCTGCCCTGCTCTGTGCTGTTTTAGGAGTCCTTGCCTGGGTCACAGTGAACTTCCTCACAGGTAAGACATTGCTTGTGTTTTGTTATGTTGGTGTTGGTGGTCAGCACTCTCATATCTGTGGGCCTATGTACACATAGAGCTGTCTACTGAATGAGGTTAGGAGTCTGAAACACTGGCCCCAAGCAGCTCGCGAAAACAAGTGATGTTCCCTCACGTGTTTCGCACAGATGAGCTGCCTTCAGAAGTGCAGGCATTATAATCCTGCAACAACATCACTGTGAAAGTTTTAAAAAAGTGTCATTTTGTGCCACAGGACACCTGTATTCTAACACTCGAAGGACAGTGGGCATCTTGGACTTGGGTGGTGGATCAACACAGATCACTTTCCTCCCAAAGTCAAAGGTACTGTATATAAAATCATGTGTGAACTGTTTACACTAGAAACATTAAAGGAAACACATAAGTAAATCTACTTATTTTATCCAACAGAAAACAATCCAGTCTGCGCCCTCATCTTATATCGCTAATTTTAACCTGTTTCAACCACACCTATCAGCTGTACACACATAGGTAAGTTTGTCATTTTTATCATTTGCCATTTAGTATTTAAAGTAAAAATCTTCTCTTAACTCAGTTATTTGGGAAATGGACTGGTTGCCGGTCGCCTGTCTGCCATGGGAGCTTTAGGAGCAGCTGGTAAGTACAACATATATTCCACTTTGAGCATAATTTTAAGTGGTAACTAAACTCATATTTGTGTCCACAGGTCTTGATTGGAAAGTCTTCACAAGTCCCTGTCTTCCAAAAAGACTCAAAGGAGAAGAATTGTATTTTTCAGGAAACACCTACAAAGTTAGCGGGATTGCAGACGGTAAGATAAAAGCTCTGAAGTTTTATTGCTTTCCCAGACCACTAGATCCAACTATGCCAGCATTCCTTTCTCAGCATTTGAACACAATAGACTACAGTACAATACAGTCTAAGATGAGAAGATTTAGCCGCTGAAGTTTTTGTAACCTTGGCGCCAAACGCATGTTTTGTCATCTTGTGACTCTTTATCTTCCCTCTTGAACAATTATATTGCAGCAAACCTTGTGTTTAAAAGAAAAGAAAACTGTCAGTTAGCTTCACAAATAAAGCAGTCACTCCCATACCACAGTCCAGTAGCCAAAAGATGCAGGGCTTGTTCCAGAGTTGTTACTTTTTTGTGTAGCGAGTGGCTTGATCTGAACCGCTCACAATTATGTGGTAAAAATAGGCAGGCCATCAGGGCAGCTCTAACTGCTACTCTTGTCAGCACATGGTTTCTCGAGCACAAATGAGCCAAGCTTCTCCACACAGTGCCCGCGAGCCTGTGAACCCTGAGCTACTGGGGCTTCCCTGGGTATGCTCACACGAGCCCCTCAGCTTTACCCCTCGGTTAACCTCAGCTCCGTCTACTGGCCCTCATCATCACATTCCAACCACTGCTGCTGCAATGCACCTCCAACTGGTGGTTTCCTCCAGTCCATTTTCAGTGTGGGTTACATCATTCTTTTCTATGTGCTCTCAGGCTATGCTGGCTATAAGCTGTGCTACTATGAAATGATGAGAGTGATCAAAGGCATAGTGCACCAGCCCTTTGAACTGAAGGGGAGCAGTCTTTTCTATGCCTTCTCTCACTACTTTGACAGAGCGAATGAATCAGGCATCATTGGTAAGTGGACACACTGTGTACACATCATTTGATCATAATTCTCATATTTTTTTTTAAGCAGAATCTATGTTTTTCCTCAGATAGCAGAGGTGGAACTGTAGAAGTACGAGACTTCAAGAAGAAGGCAAAAGAAGGTACTAGTTATATCACCTTACGAAAGTCGTGAGAATGATTGTCATGAGCATTTAGACTTCTATACTATATTTCAAATACCACCAAATAGCTACTATAAACTTAAGTGGGCATTTCTGTCAATGGCATAGCACTTCTGCTATGGTTCAGGCAGGTTTGTACCATCAGCCCTGCCCCTGTGCTGACCCTTACCCTCCACTCATCCCTCCATGTATTTATGTATGAAGTCAGTTAATAACTCTTTGACATAAATGTATTTATGTATTCATTATGTATTCATTTTCTCTTCATTTCTAGTGTGCAACAAAATGTCTAAATACCGTACCACCCACCCATTCCTCTGCATGGATCTGACATATATCACTTGTCTCTTAAAAGAAGGCTTCGGCTTTAAGGACAACACAAAGCTACATGTAAGTGCAACAGGATTAAAGATGTTATATAGTTTTATAAGACAATTGTAACTCATTGTGGACCCATTTCCTCCCCTTTCATAGCTTGCTAAGAAAGTTAACAATGTGGAAACAAGTTGGGCTCTTGGGGCCACCTTTGATTACTTTAGAAACCTGAACATCCACTAAAGCCCACGGCTGTGACTGCAGCTGGCACTGAGAGGAACCCTCACTGGGGCTACCTCCGCCCTCCTCCACCAGATGTCCCACCATACACAGCCTCACATGTCCAAGAACTGTTGAAGAGAAATCACTATTTTTTTTTATAATGCCAGCTGTTTCTACTGTACCAGAACCATTGGGTTTATTTGAAAAGATTTTTGTACGTTTACATTAATGATTTCTCTTGGATGTTTGAACATGATATGCTATTCACATACCTGCATGGTCCTAGTTTAGGAGCAGTAGTCAGGGTGACAGGGTGACATTCTGGTTGATTTCTGTGGTTTTGGTGCGCAATAATAAATGCAGTAAAATTTCTTAAAATGCCTGATACTGTTAGGGAGCCAAAGTTTGTACAGATTTTAAGGCATGGCAGGAATCATTAGATAATACAAACAAAAATCTTAAACTTTGCACAAAACACTTTTATCACAGAATGTTTTTGAGACACAAAGTTACAGAGTTGTTCTATTTGTAAAGAGCTCCACATTGACTCTTCCTCACAGAACAATTTCTTCTATGCTTCAAAGCTTTTATTTTGAAGTAAGGCCAGTTGACTTTGTTTGGTCTAGAAGGAAGCACTCCTCTTCACAGTGACTACATTGAAGGGCCTTTAACTACCAGGATATAGGCCAGAGAAATTTCAAGAGGAAATGGCAAATATTAATTATGCACATTTAAAAAAAACTTTCTTGGTGTGCATAAGTGCACCTGGTTTCTTTAGAGTTATGAAACTATTATATTGTGAACTGTACACATGTAAAATGACTGAGACTTAAACTAGAATATACCTTCTTGTGCAGCTGCCTCGCCTTTGCTGTCTTTTCAGTATTTCACACTCTAATAACTACTGCTGTATATACTTAATGTATTTGTAAAATATAATGACTTGACAAGAATGGCTTTTGCATTCCTCAACAAATGGCTTTTTCATTAACTAATATTTTTTAAAATTCAGGTGTGTACATTATACATCATTGTTTTAATAAATTTTAAATTAATTCACTTAACCTTCTGTCATGTTTGTCTTTTGTCTTTGCAAACAAAGAAACATGTTTAGTGAAAACAAAATAGAATTTTATTTACATTCACTCGGAGTACTTGGATGAAGAAGCACATATGTGTTGAACAGATTATTTACTTGCAAAGGCCATGATCTGCTCCTGTAAGAAGCAAAGGACATAGTCAAGTCAAAGCCTCAGTAACCTCTACTAGTGCTGTTCAACCCAGTGCCCTCAGACCTGAGCTGTTTGCACTGAATCACTGTTAAAAATGGAAAAAAGTGTCACGTTTAACTTTGTACTCCCAATAAAGCCTCTTTACAGCCCGTTAAGGTTGTGTTGGTCTGAATCACTTAGTAGGAAATAAAGCTATTTCATGTGAGTGGTCAGTAATAAAAGGGGTGTGAAAACACAAGCTAACACCACTGTTCGCTGCCCCTGAGCCAGCCCTGCACCCCACCCACACACTTTTGGTAACAGTAAATTTGGGGCTAAACTTAGATGCCATAGTAGTAGGTTCAGAACACTAGAAATTATAGACACAGCTTAAGTAAAGCTCTGTGTAATCAGAAAGAGGGTGGGGCTTAATGTGACAGGTGGTCATGTGACGAGAGCAGAAACTTACTTTGAGTGTTGGGAGCATGTTGGTGGCCTGCAGGCCAAAGGTACGCAGGAGCACCACCGGAGCAGCATCAGTGGAGTAGAGTCGCTTCATCAGGTCTATGGCAGCCATCATGGGCAGGTTGTGCCTCTGCCTCTCAGTTTCATATTCCAAGAGATGCTGCATAGCTCCTGCAAAAAAAAAAAAAAAAAAAGCAGGTAGTTTTATCATTTGCACTGTACATATGATATTACGCCAAAAACATTTCACGTAATGACTAATAAGAGAAAAGGAAAAAACAACTCTTTAATTAATTTTTGAAAGGAAAAGAGCTTAAAAACTGTGGACTTGCACCACAGTGTTTCTGTGTAGCACTGACCTAAGTCCTTCCCATTAAAAGCCGCTTGGCTCAGGAGATGTGTGAGGCTCGCCACATCCCCAAAGCCCAGGTTGACTCCCTGACCTGCCAGTGGGTGCACTCGATGGGCAGCATCCCTGTACAGACAAACCTGTGTTTTCAATGTTGTTTTTTACTATTGCATGAATCAAATTGAATAGACTTTTTTCTGTACCCAATTAGAGCAACACGGTGTCTGATATACTCTGATGCATGCCCCAGGCCGAGGGGAAACATGACCCGGGTTTTTGGGCCTATAGCAGCTACACTGGGAGGAAGCTGTCGGGGTGAGCCTGCAGAAGGCATCAGCGCTGAGAGGGCAGTGCGAAACATAGAGCCAGCCGTCTCCACCAGGTCGGACTGGTTCTCATTACTCCACTGTGGCACGGGGGCACATTCAAAGACAAAGAGAGAAAACAGCCATTATCCTTCTGTGGACACACAAATTAGCTGACATATGAGCAAAGCTGAACTCCAGGCCAGGGAAAGTTTTTTTTCTCTAACTGGTTTGGCAGGGCACTGTGAGCCTGGCTAATTAAAAGAAGATGCCGGCCAGGCTATACAGTCGAATTAGCTCTGTTTGAAAAACATTCCATGCAGTAATGGTCGACACTGGGAGACCACAGGTTTAATTAGCACACCAGGCTTGAAACCTAACGTGACTCAACCGTGGTGACCCTGTCCATCAGCAAAATCAGTAAAAATAACCAGCTTGGGAAAAGGACTTTTGTCTGAACAGAAGAATTGAAAGGTACACCCTGGACTCAGAAAAATATGACTATGGTGTAAAGATGGGTCAAACAATGACAGCTGTGTTTAGGGGATTCACCGCAGCTGTTCAGCATGTGAGTAACCTGTGAGTAAACAGAAATGTAGCAACTTTCTGCTGGCGCATGGAAAGTGTGACACTTTATATTGCTATAAAATGACATTTCTCACAAAGGCAGAGTTGACTGCGTCCACAAAGCTCTCTTCGTCCAGCTGCAGCAGCTCCTCTGCGAGGCCATGGCTGGTGGACCACACCAAAGAGCTCTCAGAGTCCGACAGCTGTTGTGAACATTAATGCTGAGGCATTATCTGGCACTAATAACACACTGAGCTGACTGATTTGCAAGGAGAACTAGAGCAGTAAAAGCTGTTTTACCGGTAGCATTGCTATGGGTCCAGTTGGGAGGAACCTCTGCCATGCAACATTGTTTTCTGTGGGCTATCAAAAACATAAATCAAACATGTTTTATTGTACACACACTTTAATTACACATTAAGCACATGTAAACAAATCTTAGACCGTCAGCTGCTGAGCAGAAGCATTGTTCTTTCCTTTATGACAATGCCATTTTAAGACTACCAGCACAATTGAAGACTAAAGTAGGAATATTCAAATGACTTGAGACATTGTGTATAATAATAATCTGAAAGAATGCAAACTATATTTACCTCAGATAGGCGCAACACAGCAACAACAGCAGACTGGTCATAATTCCACTTGACTGTAGGAATTCCTAATGCCCGTCTCACCATTGAGTTTTGCCCATCAGCACCAATCTGAGAAAAAAAAAAGCAAAAAATGAGAGAAACAGAAAAACATAAAATAGGGAACATGAATGATAGCAGCATTTAATCAAATACTGACAAGCAGCTTGGTTTGCAGAGTCTCGCCACTGGCTAGTGTGACCTGAACCCACGGGATGGAATCAACTGCCTGATGTGGCATTGGCCATGTGTACTTCACCACCTTAGACCTGTACTTCACTTGCACATTATCTGTTGAAAAGCAAAGGCACAGTCATTATCATGACAGAGGCATTGGCAATGGCCCCACTGTGGGACAAATAAAGGTTTATCTTATCTTTAAAGCACAGAAATACTACGTATAATGTTTAAATTCAGTACATTTATCAGAAACACAATAGAAGCAATGAAAGATCTATGAACCACATGGTGAACAGCTGATTATCAAAGCTGGTTTATGGTTGCACCGGAAGTTCACCCAGAACATGTTGAGTGACTTTGGCCTGGCACAGCTCATATACTTTGTGCCAGTTGATCTATAGTTGCTCTTATGACATCTGTTGTTACCTGGAATCAGCAGCTGACTTTTTCATAGATTTGAATCAGAATCATGGGAAGGAAAATGGGACACTGTGATGTAGAGAACTGCAGCTGCATGGGAAAAGCTTTCATCTACCACGCTGTGTGTGCAACAACACCCTCGCTCAAATGAGAAAGGAGCGGACAAGTGAGAGGCACATGAGGTAAAAACGTGCAGTGACCACAATTCCACAATTTGGCACCAAAAGTCAAAAAGTGTTTATAAATATGCCACTCAGGCTGTCAAGCAGTTAGGCTTTTTTTGTCAACTTCACAAAAGAGGGTCTAATGTGGATAAGAATGGAACAGCAATCTGTACATTTGAATGTATTTAGAGTTGCTGTATACATGGCAGCTTTAAATAAGTCCCTGGACCTCACGTGTCCTCACTGTATTTGCCATAGTTCTTGGAGTTCTACATTTTAACTGAACTAGAGAAAAAACTACAGCTCCAGTGGCTCTGCAAGTCTCAAATAGATTTCACCACAAATAATAAACAAAATGTGAGGACAGCATGAAATAAATATGGCAGGATTTAGCCAACATGCCCAATAAACCCAAAGTTTATGATAAAAAGCGTGTTTACTTACCAGCTAAACTGTCCAGCTGTTTAGTGAGGGCTGCCACAACTACGTCATTCTCTACAATGTATGCCATCTCGTCCTCCAGGTTGTCCTTATCGAATATGATCAGGGCATCTGAGCAAGCATCCCAAACCTAAATGAGAGGCCCATTATGGCTGTGGTCTGTGCTTAATGCATCCCCTATAGCTATATATAGTTGTCGCTTCATTGAGCTGCACACATCAAAGTTTACATGGTACTCAGGCGGGCACGGGCAGTATATGCTGTGAAGGTCCCTACAAACCCTGTTTGGATTCGTAACTTCATCTTAATAATAGTATGTACTCACTAGAGTCAGTTTGTTTGGATGTGGATGTTTCATTTTCTTGGTAGCACAAATAACTAATGACCTGTTTGTGAACATTACAGAGTAAGTAAATATTTAGCCACAACCCAAAGTGGCAGAAAGAGTTGCCGTTTGCAGCTACTGTAATTTCAGCCTTGGATCCACCATGGAGTTCAACATGGAGGGTGAAAGTGTTTGTACAAGGTTAATCTCTCCTCGCTTGTAACTATGGTGACACAACCCTTCATTTGGCAGTAATGTGCTACTGCTTTACTTTTTACTGACTTGCCATAAAGTGGGGGGATATACCCTCAAGTAAACCACTAATCACACTGGGGCTGCAGCTTGTGATAAGTGGTTGGGAAGAATGATTTACTGAGAAGGGCCCAAAAACAGTTTGGGGTTAGTTTAATACAAGTCCGAATGATTCAGCTTGGGAAAGAGCGGCCTGGCGGTGCTCTTTGTGTTATTCAAACAATACGACCAGATTTCTCACAACTCTAAGGAAGGAGCAGGAGCAGCCCTCTGTTTCAAATCAAAGACCTAAAAGCAAAGCATGCATTTAGAGTGGAAGTGGAGAAGCGTTTTACTGAATGGAAAGAATGCTATTTCCAGCTTTTCTGCATACTTTCCGACATTATGGCTGAAATGTATAGAAAATGACGGAGATGCAGTGGACAAACAAGTCCGTGGCACCACAGTGAAGGTATAATGGCAGAGGGACACTAGCATGAGCGCTTTTAGGCAGCACATGATGACATCTTGGGCCGAGAGAGAAGCCCTGCGGTCATGTGTTTGGTACGCTCCCACCACATCTTTCGAGAAGGACCGAGCCTGCACCCACAGCCGTAAAAGTGGCTTCACATTGTAGCAAACAACTACTCTCCTAATCTTTCATCTTCTTGCACTTGTTCACATGAATCTTCATAATTAAAAGACACTGGCTATGAGAACCAATCTGAAAAAGCCCAAATGATTTATTTAGCATAACATAACACATTTTAATACAAGTAACCTGCAACGGCCTTTGAACTAAACGATGCTTTGCTACGGTCAGTTAAAAAATAGTCTTTTAGATGCTGTGTGTTTATTGATATATTTAGTGCGATTGAATTTGAAGAGAGTGACAGAAAGGACAGAAATTGCACAAAGGAATGAACAATATGTCTGCAAAATGAACTCAATGTTCTCCATTTTCACACGAACATGTACATACCACATACATGATTATATGACGCTGTATTATGTTGCTTGTTCAATGAGCTGAATGAGTGACTAGCTGAGTGTTAAAGGCTTTTTCTCTCCACAAATTGCATAGTGTTGTTATTGATGGATGGCAGAATTACATAGAGCATGTCAGTAAAATGGTCTATGGTAAATATAAAAAATAACAATATCTAATAGAGGGATTTGGGAGATGTTTGGTTTGCATATGGCCTAAACTATTTTTGCTTGTGTTAAGAGGAGTCAGAAGAGCCACTGAAGCAGTGAAAGCTACAAAAGAATTGAGGAAGTAATTTGTATTTCATCTGTAAGTGTTTGAAGGTATTTTAACTCAGGTGATAAGTCAAGTCAGGTGTGCTATTTAAATGACTAACTGGCAAAACATGTGTGTTATGTATGTTAAATATGTTAAAGGTCCTTCTCTTTTTTATTCTTTTGACACCAGACAGAAAGTGTTTGATACCCATGATAGATCAACATACCTGCATCTTTTTGTAAGGCTTACATCTCATATTAGTGATGTGTTCCCATGCTCCGACACCTAACAAAAAACAAATATCAAACACAATAATGCCATACTGTGGAACATTATAGCCAAAAGAACAACATCTCATTGGAAACAAGCAGGAGGTGGCTCACCTCTAGGCCAAGTAAGAATAAGTTTAGTGGGAGCAAGCCTGTTCACAGTAAGGATGGATGTTTTTATACATTTTTCAGTGCAATAAAAACATCTAAAATCAAATGACATGCTTCTTTGTCTAAAAAGATGTACTTGGAAATTTGCTATTTAGCTACAATCTGGTGCAGCTTTTAACTTAATGTCTCTGAATATTTCCCTTCAAATAAAGACTTAAACAGCAAATAGCAACAACACACACAGAGCAACAGGCCTGCATACCTTTTTTCTAGCATTTTGCCAGAGGCAAACCTCTACACCTCATATTTCACAATGACACATGTGTATGATGGTCACTAAAATCTGATCCAATCTAAAAAAGCTGAAAATGTTGACCATATCATGTGCAAAAGAGCACTGATGGTCCAAGCACCCTGCTGAAGTTACTTGGTTACTTGACATTGACACAGTTTATTTTTATCAGCGAGAACCCCATGCCAAAATAACATGTGTTAGCAAAACCTCCAGTGAGCTGCTGCTACAGAGGATAATGCTGGCAAATACAGGCTGAGTTCACTATGATAAGATTTACAGATGACATTTTTGTATTAATTTAAGAACCTTTGCCCCCATTTCTCACACATCAATATATAAACGATATTCATATATCTGTATGTGTAAGTACTGGTGTCTACCTGCAAGAAGGGTTGCAGACCCAGGACTGATTGAGCTGACCCTGGTGCTGTAGGTGTCCGGGACTGTGTCCATCACATTCTTATGACCTGCTTCAAGAAGGAGAATCTTCTTGTCCTCTAGGTTGGGATCCATGCCTGTTATCATAATAATGACAAATCTATCAAATATGCTTGACACTACAACAGGAACAGAGGCTGTTTGGGGTTACAACACTCACCCAAGGAACAAGCCATGGCAGATCCGACCATGCCTCCCCCTGATATAATAACATCATATACATCATCTTGGTTACCACTGTTGCTCTGCGGACTGCAAACAAATCCTCGACAAAGACTTTTGGGGGAAGTGAGCCATCTCTCTGCAAATAGACATCTGGTCAGTCCGTTCAGGGCCAGCGTCGTCTTGGCGAGTTTGTGCATTCTCTATTTTCACTCTTTCGTCATGAGGGAAACTGGTGCTCTAAGGAGGAAAGTAAAATGTTACTGTGGTTATTTTATTTGGCAATTAGCCACACGTTTCCCCTTGAATATGTCCGATTACGGACGCCTCTTTCTCCTTTCAGCCATGTTATGTTGACAAGCGCTGCAGGAAGTACTTCCGGCTTCTAGTCCAATCACAGGACGCGTCTCCTCTGACGCAGCCTGCTCTGCCTCACTGCTCTGAAGCCCTCGATCCGTGATATTTGATAATCATGTTATATTAAACTACTAAATTAAGAGCAAAGCATCTTCAAAGCGAATCTACCCCGTGGAATACTGGGAGATGACCATTTAACGAGGAGTGCAACTTCCCAAAACTTAATTTACAGGTTTGCTTTAACCTTTCGTTTTTATGGGCTGTTATTTTATACTTTTACAAAGAAGCACTAAAGTCTGTATACGCTTACAGCATGGGACCCGGTGCTTTTTTAATTTTGATTTTAATTGAGTTTACATCTCGAGAGGCTTTTGCAGAGACTTTTTTGAGCAGGCGTTCGCATGGTTGCCATGGTTACGTGTTAACAGAGGCGCAAACCTCTCCCTCTCAGCAAAATTGATTAGTCTGCAAAAGAAGCCAAACAACAACGAAGAACAACTTATACTGGCATACTTCGCCATTCTATGTGAACTGATCCTATTACTGTTATATAAGTTATATAGCTTTATAGCTTTTGTAGGTATATCTTATTTTGTGTGTTGTGCAGCTTGACAATTTTTGCTTTACTTTTGCAGTATTTCTGTAACATGTCCAAACTGGAGATGTTGCTGCGAGACAAATTTGAATCTGAGTTGGTTCTTCAGCATCACATTAAAGCTCTGAGCAAGAGCCTTCAGCAGCAGCTGCAGGAGATGGAGAGGAGGCAGAAGCAAGAACTTGACAAGAGGATTCAACAAGATCTTGCTCTTTCAACACACAAATACACAGAGGAAACACAGGCTCAACACAGGTCAGTTTAACTTTTCACCCGGACTAGGAATTGGCCATAGATTTTCCATCACACTAAACCATGAAAAACAGAGCTAAAACTGGACCAAAGCAGGACTTAACTTCTAAAGTCTAAGTCTAAATGCAGACATGTTTAAAGAAGGACATGAATTGACATTAAATACATAAACTGGAAAACTGAGTCCCATCAAGGGGGGCGCCGTACCCCATCTTAAGAAAAAGCATGCTGACTCTTTATTTTTTGTTTCAGAAATATTGGACTAAGAAAAGTGTCATCTACATCTGCACTGAACTCCAACAAAGGGATCCCACCTGATCAGATAAATTTGTCTGTTGTTCATTTAGCATGTAACTCTACTGGTAAGTCATCAGAATCCAAACATGCAAAGACAAACCACTGTCAGCGGGCTTTGGCAATGACATGGCCAAACAAAGAAAAAGAGGCTATGGCTGAGTGTCTGAAGAAATTCACTGCTCCTCCAGTCCCCAGTCATGTCTCGGCGTCCCTTTTCAGAGAGATGATGCTGAAGAAGGAGAGGCAGAGGCAGCGAGGGCTTGAGCAACGAAAGAACTTCCTACTGTCCATGCAAAAACCATTCGGCTTTGAGGAGAGAGAAAAGGAAAAGAGGACCAAACTAATAGCAATGATAAATGAAGCAGCCAAAGATAAGAATGAAGCTGTTGTCATAAAGAGTTTTCATAAAATAACCAAAGACTCAAAACAAGGTGAGTTGAATTAATATGGCCAATATTTTTATTTTATTTGCCTGTTTAATTAGTCTATGCATATAAATCCCTATAACCATTTGAGAGACCATATTTCAGAAAAAATTGGTTTTATTAATATGACATAACATTTTAATCTGTAGGTCTGCAGAGTTGAGTTGGAGCTGCAGGGTCATTATACATATGGTAGAATTTGTCTTTAAACTCTCAAACTGCAAATATTTCATCCTTGTTTATGGTTAATATCTCAGTAATTACTGAGTATGAAACAACTAACATGTTTAATGTTTTTTCTATAGGGGTACACATTTTTTTTGTTACTGTTTCTTTTAATTTACTTTTTCAAAAACATTAAATTCTAGATCAGGGGTGGGCAAAGTATGGCCAAGGGGCCATATGTGGCCCTTTAAACTTTTTAATCCGGCCCACTGAACTTGAATAATACTAGTAATCATTTTCAGTGTTTTAAAAGTCATTTCACTAAATAGTAAATACTGTGGGACTTGAAAGACAGATATTTTATTGTAATGCTTTGTAATGCTTTTCAATTATGGGATATTTAAATGTTTTTTTCTCTTATGAGGTGGATTACCAGAAAACTCAAAAAATCCATCTGCTCCTGGTCCTGTCCCTTCCATCAAATTTTAGAACCCTTTGTGGCCCATGAGTCCAAAAGTTTGCCCACCCCCTGTTCTAGGTGCATTTCCCCTAGGTCAATCATCTTTAATGGTGGGAGCTCAAATGAATGTAGATTTCTGTTGTAAAAGCCATTTCTAGGGTCTTGTCATTGATAGACCTAATCAGATTCAATTCAGTTAATGTATTAACCTAACCTATTTAACTTTGAAGATTTACTAATTTTAATCATCTTAAATAATTTTTTAAGTGTCTTAACTCTGATACACCACTGAATTCAGAATTTGCCAGGACCATAAAATGCACACACAGAGCTACTACAAGAGGTAGTACTAGTGGTAATTGTGTTCTCTTTTGGTCAGTCCTCCTTCTCTGCCAAAGGGGCCAGACCGTGGAACTGCTACCAGCTGATTTAAAATTGGAAACCAACAGCAACAAATATAAAAGCAAATTAAATGTATTGTATGTTTCCAACCAAAAATGCACTCACTGAAAATGTATTAATGAAACTAATTTGTCTTGTCTGTTTTTTATGTAGCTTATATTTTTTCTAGGTGTTGAAAATGAGTTTGTGCTAAAACACTAAGCAATGCATCTGGCTTGTCTAATATGATAAACATAAATAAACAAATAAATAAAAAAAGATAATTCTGTTAACAATATTATGTAGTGAATTGGAGAGCACTCTTGACCGACTTCAGAGTATGACATCATGCTGGGGGTGTTCTACATAAATCTCTATGATGGTGTGCTCATCAGTTACACAATGCATACACTAGCAAGCACTGTTGAAAACGTTTTGAGAACCTGTGATCAATACGAGCATTCATGGTCCTGTTGAATGTGTTTGATTTTCAAATTAAAGTGCATGTGACTAAATGAAAAACAGTTGGATAATGCTGGCTGGTTTGTGATTGTAATTTTATGCGTGAGAGACTTGTTTAGCACAAATCAGCTTGTGTGTTGTAGCTCCAGCTAAATCCATTCTTTATGGTCAACAGAGCTTCAGACGGAGCAGTGCGATGCCTCTAATTAACTCCACTTCCTCAGGGAGTGTTGATGACATCAGCTGCAATGTGTCAATAGGATCTGACAACCACCAATTCATAGGGTCAATTGATGGGGATGTTTTTCTGTTTTGGGAGAACTTTTGCCATTCAAAAGATGAAATATTTTGGCTCCAATTTTCATCACTTTGAAACTTTGAAACATGAATATGAGACTGAGACTGATCTTTTGCGATTGTTATTTTTGCAGCAAACAGAGACTGCCATAAAGTCCCCAGACAAACAGTTGAGGATGCGTCATTGTCTGAGGGACCCAAATTTCGCACAGCAGATCGGACCAGGAAAGAGAGGGTAGGATTCCTGGATGAGAGCCCAAGCTTCCAACCAAAGATCATCCGTCAGGTCCCAGATTTCTGCAGACTACACAAAGCCTTACAGAGGGAGACAACACAGACTAAAGAGACAACCAAATGTCAGCCTTTCCAACTGAGAACATCTGCTCTCCCCGTGCGCCAAAGCAGGGCCAGTCCTCAACAATCACAGGTAAACTGCAACGTAGACTCAATTCTGTCAAACAAGGATGGTACGGCAAAATATATGCAACTTTTGGTTTATTTATCAGAAGTTTCAGACCAATTGAACTCCCTAGAATAGAATTTTATTGACTACACTTGTCAAACATAATTACTGTCAGGCTGTTTAATGACAAACAAATTAATAAAGTTTGGTTACACAAAAGCAATCTGTGTCAAAACAAAAGCATAAAGTGCACTGTGTAACTTTCCAAGTGGAGTGTCTTCATGTACATATTATTGCTTTGCCTGGAATGTTCCACAGTGTGGCATTAAATATACCTGCATGAAGATGAAAAGATAGTACCAAGCCAAGTTACAAGTCAGATTTGTGGAGAGGCAAGCCCACTCATATTAAGAACGCTTATTTTTTAACATATATACACCTTTTAGATCTGTTAAATAATAAATAAATAAAATATAATACAATAAATAGTGCACATTTAAAAATAAATTCAGCATATTAAAGGAACCCTTTACAAACACTTTGAAAACATTTTAACATTTCATTTGCACGTTGCCACAAAGCTTATTGCAATATTTTTATGTTCTTGCAATATGATTATTTGGTTAACCAGTATTGCATGTTTTAACCAAGTTTATTTTATTTCACACATTTAATTTGCGGTGGTGAGAGGATTGATTTTGGGATTCAGCTTGTTTCCCACACAATGATTTAGACTCAAGTGCATTTAGCTGTGAAATTTAATTCAAAAATATGAACCCTCTAAGAGTTCACACGTATAAAATTGTTCAAAAATTCAAATTAAAGCTCACACCCAGAATTCTATAAAATCTGATGCTAAAATAAAAACTTTAAGGGAAATTCCTGTTAACATCACACATAGCTCTGATTGAAGGTTATAATCATATCATAAAAGTGACATAACTATGAGAAAACCACACAGTTGCATAGTCAACATATAATTTCTTTGCAGTTTATTCAATTGCTTTCACAGCACGGGCTTGATTAAGTAATACGACTTCTTTTCATTATTTATGATTTCACGCTGTTACATAATGCGCACAAATGTATGCTTTCATGCTAATTACAAGTCTCTAGACATGATTATTTAACCCTCATTTGATCTGCATGGGTAATATATGATTCACAGGCACAAACGGTGTCTCATCTCAGCAGAAGCAAGTCTCTGGGAGCCCTGACCTCACTGTCTACAGACACTCTCCCTGTGTACATTACAGATGCTACTCGGAAACGCGCTGAGGCCATCAGGTAAATCAAATTATAGCAATTAAATCCACATCAATCTCCATATTGGTGTCAGCTACTGTACATTAACCCCTAGAGGGAAGAAAGTGTTGGTATACTTCAAGTATTTTTCTGTCCCTTGCTTGGAGATTTTATTACTTTTTCTGGAATGTTCCTCAGTATGGCATTAAATTTATCCATGTCTATAAAGTCAAGCAAGTGGCACAACCAGACCAAGGTGCTGTTCAGATCTGTGAAATAGCAACGCATCCCATAACTCAAACCGGGTCAAAAGTGCTTGTCTTTCAGCCTCATACCTCTGTGGCTATGTGTATATGCACATAAAAAATCTGATTATTACCTGATTTCTAGCATTTCAGAGTATTCAAATAAATTAGGTCTGATGTGGGTAATTTTTTCCATTTGTTTCTGATTGTTCACATCTGTACATCTGTGGCTTTGAAAAGAAAAAAAAAATGCAAAATCGACAAATGAATTTGTTCTTTTTAAATTCATTCAACAGTTTCTCTAAAAATGTATTGATTGACTTGATAATCAGATGTCTTTGCTACATGTAAACACACACCAAAATCAGAGCTAATTGGATTATCTGATTTGTACTCGTCATGTAAATGTACCCAATGACATAAGCACATCTAACTGTCCAGGATGCACCTGCCCTTGGTTCATAGTTAACTGGGTGATTCTCCAATAATAATGAAATGTATAAATAATAAATGAATAAAATGTTTAAAAGACCCATATTACCTTATTTTCTGATCTATGTTACAATGCTGTTTCCTCATCACAAACATACTTTGGGCTGTTTTGTTTAATTCATACATGTTTAACACACAAACCCTGCATATTTATGCTCTTCTTTCAAACTGTTCCACCTTGTGATGTCATGTGGTGATGTCCTCCACTGTGTTTTTAAACCCCATACACTTTCACTAAAATAATGTGAATAATTTCAGTCCTAGAATTTCCAGTCTCTACTAAACAAAAGGTAGCTGTTAACTTGAAAACTACTGCTTCATGACAAAACAAGGTGGAACAGGTGGTAAGTTTTGGAGATGTAGACAAGATAAATGGTAATGAAGGGTTACTGATATGAATGAACGAAAACACAACTCCAGGTACGTTTTTGACAAGATAACAACAATTCTAACCTGACTTAAAGCTCACGAGAGTCAATTTTGTGTAATATATTGCAATAAAATGTTTTATGTTTAAGTTGTTTACGTGACTGCACAAACTAATTATGCAACCGTTTGCCGTTGGTAACATATCATACCTTCACAGAAAATCAATGGAAGTTCAAGAGAGCAGGACCCTGGAGAGTGCTGACTGGCTGAGAAAGTACCAAATGAGGTCAGAGGCCATGCAGAGGACGGTCATGCTCCACGCCAAGCTCCTGGACCCGCACAGGAGCCTAAAGGAGGTGTATAATGAAAAACTACAGCATCATCGGTGAGTGGCGTTCAAGTAAAGCGAGCTGTTCATTCTCCAAATCCCAAAAACCTCAGCCTATGTCACATCACAACAACCACAGAGCCTGCCACAGTAGCAAACTGTAATCTGTGCTTACATGCAGCGAAGCGGACCAGCAGAGGATGAGAGAGTACAGTAGGGAACTGAAGGGAATGAGGGCGCGGGTCAGTCAACGCCCCTATCTGTTTCAGCAGGTCAGACAGGTGAGTGGGTTCAGAGGTCAAATTACATTATAAAATTAAAACTGTAATGTTCAAATGTGGTATTATTTGCTACATAAGTGAGCAAAAATATGTCTTAATTATCAATATATGAAGAAATACGCAGCGTAATTTATTTGCCATGTGTCACGCAAAACTCTTGTGAGCTTTTAGTCATGTTAGAATGTCGTTACCTCATCAAAAACATACCCGGAGTTGTGTTTTGTTTCATTCACACATGTTTTAGTAACCCTTTCTTATTTGAGTGTTTACATCACTAAAGCTCAAACTTCTGTTCCACCTTGTGATTTAAAGTTAGTTTTTAAGTTAACTGCTACTTTTACCTTTTGCTCAGTAGAGATTGGCAATTTCAGGGCTGGAATTATCCAAATGAAGGATATATGGAGTTTAAAAACACTGGAGCACGTCCTGTATTACCACATGACATCACAAAATGGAACAGAGTGTTTTGTTTGAGAGACAAACTAAATATTAAATAAATATAAATGAAACAAAGCACAACTCCAGGTATGTTTTTGAAGAGGAAACAATATCATAACATAGACCAGAAAATAATGTAATATTGTTCCTTTAAACATGAACTAAGATGCATTTTAGAATATTTCCTGAAAAAAAAAAAAAAATAAATTATAATCTGATTATTCTAAAAATGCCCCAAATCCCATGTAACATTTGTGGGGGGTCCGCCACCTGTTTGTTGACATGGAAGTGTTACTGCTTTGCCTGACATGTTCCACAGCATGGCATCAAACTTGTGTATCTCCATGGAAACAAGCAGGTGATGCTTCCAGGCCAAATTACAGAAATGAAACATTACATAGTGCACCTTTAAAATTATCTGCCCCTCAGAGAATATACTGTAGCTTTATTAAAATTCACAAATACTGGTCTATTTATATTGTTGTTGACTGTTCTGTGACAGAAATCTGCGAAGGCCAATGCAGAGAAGACTTACAGAAACACGCTCCGAAATGCAGGGTTAAAAGAGCAGTTTGTTGAGGAAAATGGCCTCGCAAGATTGTCGTCCTCCCCCTCCATATCTGAGGGAAATACAGACGCCAGCACTGAGGACCAACATAGCAGGTACATTTTTCACAATTCTTTTTCTCACACTGTAATTCTACTGCCTGGGTCCGGTAAAAATATGAATAGAAATGCTTGCAGAGCCAAGGACTTCATGTGGTTTGGTTGCATTACATTACATAATTCTCTGAGCCATTGCCCTGCCGTTTTCAGAGCAGAAAAGACAAATACCATGGCCAAGTAAAAGTTCGGTGTAATTACATATAGTCATTTTTCTAACCCGAAATGTCCGATTTAGGGAAGAAAATGGAGACGCCGAAAAGAAAATTGAAGATGTGAAGGAGGAGAGCGTGGACTACAAAGCGAACGAAATGCCATGATCAAAACAGGTCAGACGGCACGGAGGGTTTTTAGTGGCCAGAAAACAACGGGGACCTCAGAAAAGCTCCTGTCATGATCCACAATGGGACTGGGATTTTTCTAGATGTGTTAGTGTAAAAAGGTGAAAGTTCAAACCAGGCAGAGTAACCAAAACCATACTAGTGAAATTGCAATAGTAAGTAGTGGTTGCTTTAAAATAATATTAAAGTGGAACTAAACTTCGCCCATAGTCACATTTAGAATAGAGCTGCTAAACTGGACAGTACCTGGAGGACTAAAGAAGAGAGTGGCAAAGGTGGAGGGGCGAGGTCTGGAGGTGTAGGGAGTCATGTGATTGGTCAAACAGGTATCCAAATTTCAACCTCCGCCCCTGAAGCCAGGTGTTTGTAATCAGAAACACCAGTCTGTAATCAGGGTAGTCATATGTGATGTCACCTACTACTGGAAATTGCACTGAAGGCAGCACACTCTAGATTTTCTTTTGTTTTTGTTTGGTTTTTTTTACCAGAAATTTGCCAAAAAAAATTTTCAAACATTATATACACAGTTTAGTAACAAAAAAAAGTATATATCCACAAAAACCTTTAGTCAAGTAAGACTACTAAAGTACTGTAAGATAAAGCAATAACAGTATTGTGAAGTAAATCTAACTGATTGTTTGTTGATTATTGTCCATACCTGAAAATACATACATTTTAGTCCAGTGTTTCCCTTTTTTTTTTTTCTGGGGACCCACATTTTAAAAGTCACAAACCTTTGTGAGTCCAAGTCAATAGACATTATTTGTAAATCACAAAATAAAGGTGGATTTGACCATTACTGAGCAATAATGAGGATATTTTATTGTTGACTAAGTGATCGTGTCTCTCTAAACAATTAGTATTACTCAAGTTTTAAACTATGAAAAACAGTAATTGAAGCAGCAATAAAAGGATCCATAAGTCACCTATTTGGACATTAAATGTAGCCCATTTCTTTTTCTTGTCAAAATTCAACTGAACCAGCAATATTGGAGCAAAATAGTCAATAAAATAATTACAAAAAGAAGAAGAAAGAAAGAAGAATTTTTGAAGTGCATTTTTGTAGTGCGTTCTAGTCCGCTGTGCAAGAGGGGAGCACAACACGCATGTCAGGTGTATAGGCAGAACTGTATATTGCAGATCTACACACAGATCATAACAAGGTGACCCAAAAAGAAATCTTTTGCGGACCACATGGGGGTCGCGGCCCAGTCTTTGGGAAACAATGCTTTAGTCTGTTTTCCATTATGTGTTGCACTGTACTTTTTTTTTTAAAGGTGCATTATGTAACTTTTCAGTTGGGGTCAGACACCTGCTTGGCTCTACTTATTACTGTTTCGCTTGGAGTGTTTCACGGTCTGGCAGTAAACCGGGATCACCTCTCTACAGGTCTGACTTGTAACCCGACCTGGTCATTGTCACATGTCCTTTCATTGTCTTCATGGAGATAAACAAAATGAATGCCATACAGTGGAACATTCTTGACAAAACAATAACATCTCTATGGGAACAAGCAGTTGGCAGATGACCACCACCAAAAAGTTTCCTTGTGCATCTTTAACTCAGGGATATAAATAATGTAACATGGAACATACTTGAATAAACTCTGACATATAAAAGTGAAGCACCTGCTGCATTCATTTGTCCTTCAGCTGGTCCATGTTGAAAAACATCCACCACCGTGGTGACACAAAATGAACTGTTGCCTCACTCACATATGCACTTGTACTATAAGGGGTGACTTTAGGTAAAAAGGGTAAATATACATTTAATGGGTCCCATAAGGACACTTGCAGCCTGAAACAAGTCTTGAGGCAGAGACTCTATCCCAGCATTCCCAGTTATTTCTTTGGCCACAGTAGCAGCTAAAAAAACAGGCCCAACTGTTCATAAGCCTCACAAAGCGCAGAGCAGCGGCATTTTCAAAGCCCATAGACCCACATCAAAAAGTGCACTGGCCTTTCTGTAAACTGCTTCTTAGAGAGAGCGCTACCAGGAATCCTAGACATGAGTTTTGACAAACCACATGGCCATGCCTAAATAGGTATAATCACCATCAAAGGACCTCCATGGAGACCGGTGCACATTAGGAGATCTAAGTAGGCCACTGTGTCAAATATGCAAACTGATGTAATGGCAGAGGGATTTCATAATGGTTTTGGATGTCAATGTTTCATTTAAATCTAAATAAACTAATAAATCAAACAAAATTTGTAATTACAAAACACCTGATTAAAACTTTCCTAATTTTCTGAAATTTTCTGATTTTATGAAATAAAGTGATTGACTTGAGTTTCATATTTATTAGTAGGGGTCATTAAAGCAGCAACTTTTTGGTAGAGTGTAACCTTCTTGCCTCCACAGAGATATTGCTTGTCTGGAATGTTCCTCAGTATAGCATTAAACTTATCTATCATCACCATAGAGACAACCACAAGGCCAAGTTACAAGTCAGGTCTAAAGAAGCAACCCCACGTAAAGTAAGACTGCATAATTTTCAAGATATTCTTCAGCAATAAAAACACTCAATTGAATGAATGCAAGCTAGGTATATTTAATGCCATACTGGGGAACGTTCCAGATGAAACAATAACATTTCCATAGAGATTAGCCAGTGACAGATCCTCTACTAGGAAAGTTACATTGTTCCACTTTCAATTCAGATTGGCTGTTGCTGGTTTTAAATACATTCTTATTATGCTTGTGTGTAATTAAGACATTATTTGGATTTGGAAAAAGACAAAAACTGTAATGTTATTTAATCTCACACAAAATCTATGAGCATTTTGAATCAAATGTAGTAGTCAATAATTCTACCATAGCTCTAGCAGACGTATGTCCCTATCTCAAGCTTTACATGACAAGGCCTCAGCAACTTCACGCGTCGTCTTGGAAACCACATACCCCCCTCACCCCGTCCTTCATCCATTATGTCCCTTAAGACAACATCACACACACGCACACCTCTGACTCCCCTGTGAAAACCAGCAGCAAAAAAAAAAACCAACAAAAAAAAAACTGTTCTCCACTTTGTTAGGTCCTACCCCCAATATTCACTGAGTGGCATGCACACAAGCGCCTTCAAAAGTAGAGGCTGTGAAAAGTAGCTCATCTCATTTAGATTAATGAAAGGCTCTGCTCTCTGCTCCCAAACGCTGTGATGATGCTTGTTTGAGGAGTGGCGGATAAAGAATATAATTTGGCCCAGGTGGCGCTTTGAGGTCTCTTATTATTTTAGCCACTATACAGTATTAAAATCCCCACACATTTAATTCTGTTGATATGTGGGTAGCGCATGTTGGCAGCTGTAGAAACATCCCAAAATAGCAGATCCAGGCTCCGAAATGGGTCTTCATCTCCATCAGACACAGACAATTATAATGTATAGAAAGAGTTTGTTATGCTTTCCTGCTTTTTTCAGTCTGCACCACAAATTACCAAAATTACCTAAGTGTCAGTGCTCGTGCATGTGTCTCCGGGTTCACCTGCAGGGGGAGCTGGAGGAGAGAGGAGAGACATCCCATCCCTGTTTTCTCCTTCAGTGGCTTGCCTAATATCCCTGGTGCTGGAGAGCGAGCAGATCAAGGAGGGGGGAGAGATAGGAGCCAGTGTGACAGATAAGAGCGTGGCAGAACTTGTCTCCCTGACTGCAACGTGGGCTGGGGGAAGAGAGCGCAACACAGTGTCAGGCAAGGCTACAGCTACACACACACATCAACACATCACAACAACATCCCAGAGCCTGCTACACCAGAGGGACACACAGGGACGACTGACCACTGCGAGGTAAGAGCATGTCTGTCCACCCCCGCTGTTAGAATAATGTGCAGCTGTCTGTGATGTGTCTCTGCTGTGTCTCCCCTGTGTCTGTGATGTGTGTGTGATGTGTATGTGATGTGTCTCTGATGTGTTTGTGATGTGTGTGTAATGTGTGTGATGTGGGGGGTGCACGCTCCTGCAGGTGTGTGGTCCCTATGTTTGTCTTTATGGTGCACTGGGTCAAACTCAGCCTTGTTTTGCAGCAGAGGGCTGGTGTGTATCTGAAGAACAGTTTGACACTTGTAGCCAACAACAGGATGGACCTGCTGTCAGAGAAGGACAAGGAGCTGATCCGAGGAAGCTGGGAGAGTCTGGGCAAGAACAAAGTGCCCCACGGTGTTATCATGTTCTCCAGGTAATGGTCAGCACATATATGGATTTATAAAATAATTACTCTTATGGCTTAGAACAGCTTCATCCCTCTGTACAAACTTGCAAAGATAGAAGTCCTAACCTGTTGCTTGACGACAAACAAGAATAACTCACTTTTCTATGGGGAATTATTTACATAGATTATTAGATAATGTTGCTATTTTTGGAGTAGCCACGCATCCTGATGCTCTGTCTCTTTGCAGACTGTTTGAGCTGGACCCCGAGCTGCTCTCTCTCTTCTACCACAGGACAAAGTGTAGCTCTAGTCAGGACTGCCTGTCCAGCCCGGAGTTTGTGGAGCATGTGACTAAGGTGAGCTCCTTTGCATTTGTGCCAGCCCCACAGTCCTTCTAATCTTGCCTTAAGTCATCAGAAGTATAATACTCACTACACCACAAGCACTAGACTGGAATGGCCAACACTACCACAGTGTCTTGAGAGTTCATGTCTCAGGGTGTTGGGTCCTTCTATCTCTTGGGCTATTTCAGTTTATTCTAGCGTACATATGAGCATCCTATAACCTCTCCCTGTGTCCTTTGTAGGTGATGCTGGTCATTGATGCTGCTGTCAGTAACCTTGACGATCTGCCCTCGTTGGAGGACTTCCTGCTGAACCTGGGGAGGAAGCACCAGGCTGTGGGAGTGCACACACAGTCCTTTGCTGTAGGTTTCAAACCCTTCTGACACATGTGTGCCCTGCCTGTGTACATGTGTGTGATGTATCTGATGTGTGTGCTGTGTTTGGTGTGGGCTGCAGGTGGTGGGGGAGGCCCTTCTCTACATGCTACAGTGCAGTTTGGGTCAGGCCTACACTGCCCCTCTGCAACAAGCCTGGCTCAACATGTACAGCATCGTGGTGGCGGCCATGAGCCGAGGATGGGCCAAGAATGGAGAGGACAAGGCCGACTGAAGCCCAGCGCTGCAACAGATGCTGCCAAATCACTCGACATGGTTGCCATGGAAGAAGGTTGTGTAACTTGCAACACTGTGGCTTTGGCTGCTGTGCATTTGCTCAGTGAGCGGGGTAGCGTAGCATAGCAAATGTATGATGTGGTTAAACATGACAATTGGATTGACCGAAACCTAGTTTATTTTAGTTGTTGTGGATGTTAGCTACCAGGCAATGATGCTGTACAGCTGTAAGGACCTATGCCAGCCCACTTTGGGTCTTAATGGTCTGGACAAAGTCCCATGGATGAAAACATCCAGGACCTAGTTGCCAATCCACTTTGTATATAGTGGCTTAAATTCTCTTCTGTACTGATCAGTGACTGTTGTGGTCTCGTGTTGTATCTTAAAGTTACAAATGTGTAAATCACTTGATATTATATTTAGGCATCATACACAACTGGAACTGTGATGACTACTGTGGCCAGGACTGGCAGCTGTCTATCAACTGGAACACAGTCATACTAACATGAGACAACTGATAAAGCAATGTCACTTATCAGGCAGCACAACATTTTCATAACTACTGACCTAATGATTACAAGCACAGATCTACTATAACAATAAGTGAATAGAACTGTTATTTTTGATAGCTTTCTAAAGTGAATCATGACTGTTAAGGCTTAAGTGCACCTTACTGACTGGTGTGCAATGTGCTCCTTGTGTGAGCTTCTTGTCCCAATAGGCTCTAGTGGACTGTTACTCAGCTCAGACTGTTATGTGACCCTGGAGTTTATAGGGGAAGGATTTGGGGGGGATTTTTTGTCTTCTAGAAGGATCAGGTTACTTTTGTTTTATGTTTTTAGTGTAGCCCGTGTCCACCTATTGAAAGTATTGTGACTGCAGATAACTTTACCTCAGCTCCAGAGGTGCGGTGTGACCAAGAGTGTGTGAAAACAGACTTAAAGACAGAGGATATTTATGTAATGTGAAAATATCATATACAATAACTCATAATGTCTGCTGTCTGTATACGTGTCCTATATACCTACTCTATAGCACTGTATGGAACATCCTTGGCTGTTATTTACATGTATGGTCATAATGCCAAGTAACTTAGCAACAGTGTGCCAAGTATTTCATAATATCCACTGTTAATCCAAGCTGCTGATATGTGGTTACCATTGCTTTAGGATGAGTTTACATGTAAACAATTATTTTTATATCTTATATTTATGCGTAGTTAAGAGCATTTACTTTTGGACAAATTTAATGTATAGCACACTACACACTATAAAGTATAAACCTTATGAGTAACTGTAATATTTTGAGTAAACAGATTACTATGTCAAATGCACTGTCTCTGAAGTACACTTTTGATAGTGAGAGCCAGTGCTAAAGATTTTATTGTCTTACATGTGTGTAGGTGGCATATATTTATAAGTAACACATTAAAATAACCACACTTTAATTAGCCTTAATAAAGCATGAAGAAAGACTTAATTCAAATGGAGTTACAGTATTAATTAAGTAGTTTCTAAGTGTAAATCCTTCTTAATAAACTATTTGTACATTAAGAATTTGCTGAGGTTAGTTAGTGTGTAGTTATCATAATGTGATACAGTTTGCAGTGAATATTTTCTTATCCTATGCAGGACCTTTGTGCGTTTGCTCCCAGTTAACCCCAATCTTTTTTTTTTTTTTATTATATATATATATTTATTAGCATTTCAAACTGTAAGCATGCTACCTACTGTGTACTTTGACATCTCTACATTTTGGCTGTGTCTCTGTCTACCTCATTATTATTGGCTGCTAGCTACTACAACCAACCGTGATGACTAGTTACAATCCTACAACCAAAAAAGTCATGAACGCACACATGGGATGCACTGTTTGCCATTGGACTTGATAACCATTGCTGTGTTTGTGTTGCGGTAATAAAGTCTTCTGTGTGGTATCGGTGAATAGGGTCAGTGTGTTTTTTGCAGTGCGTTGTGCATAGAAATCAGTGACACTATGCTTGATTAGGCCCTCACTGCTGACAGCCTCTTACATAACACCCAAACAGCCCCCGGACAGAGAGACGGAGGGAGACGGAGGGCACGTCGCTTACCCATGCAACTGCACAATGTCATCTACACTCCAGTCCATCAGGATAACAAGACGGGGTTACGTATGTGCTGCCATGCATGTCGCATAACGTCAGACAGTTAGACACAGCCATGGTAACATGTGTAATTTATGAGATGTTGGGAATGGGAGAGATGACAAGAACGCATTATTTACAGATCAGTTGTAAATGGTTAAAGTTATTCATGTCTGATCTGCCAATGGAGCCATCCCACACAAATCAAGCACACAGTTTGATATGATAGTGTTAAACGGCCTATATTATGCTATTTTCTGATGTTATAATAGACTCAGACTTAGACAAACTTTATTGATCCACAAGGGAAATTATTTCTACACAGTAGCTCACCCATCACAATATTTTATAATAAAAGAAGTATATATAATAAGTAAGTAAGTTTTATTTATATAGCACTATTACTATATTAGCACTTTTCACAGACATATGTCACAAAGACGCTTTACAGACCATTATTCATTCACTCCATACCCGGTGGCTGTAAGCTACTATTGTAGCCACAACTGACCTGGGGGGCAGACTGACGGAAGCGCGGCTACTAATCTGAACTGTTGGCCCCTCCGATCACCACCAACACTCATGCACAGACCACTTTCATACTATAAGATAAAAAATATATATAATATTTCATAAATTCTAAATAAGTAGCAAAAAAAATAGCAAGAAACAGGTGTAAAAATGTTATAATTATATAGATGTATTTGTACTAGTCACAGTAAAATAGAAACATAAGTAATAAAATATAAAATCTCTTCTGTCTCAGCTATAAAATGTTGTTTTCTCATAAAAAAAAACAAAAACCTGGAGTTGTGTTTTGCTTCATTCACTCATGTTTAACACACAAACCCTGCATATTTAACTTGAGTTCTTCTTTTAAACAGAAAACACTCCTTGTGATATCATGTGCTCCACTGTGTTTTTAAACTCCATACACCTTCACTATCATCATTTGGATAATTTCAGCTCTGGAATTGCCAATCTCTACTGAACAAAAGGTTCAAGGTAGCTGTTAACTTTTAAGATACCTTTTCATGGCATCACAAGGTGCAAAAGAGCATTTTGAGCTTTGGAGATGAAACAAAAGACAAATATGTGTTAAGTTATGTTCTTGATGAGGTAACAACATTCCAATCTGGCTAAAAGATCACAAGAGTTGATTTTGAGTAATACAAGAAAGTCTACTCTTTGATTCATTACCCGCTGACTCAGAGAGTGATGGTAAGTTACTGTAGCCACTGTGTCCTGAGGTTGCAGTCTGATGGAAGTGGTGGCTGCACATCCATTCATACTCTGGCAATGTGGGTTAAGTGTTTTGCCTAAGGAGACAACAGCAGAATGCAGGGTTTGAACCACTAACCTTTAGATGAGCTATTCAATGAGGTCATGTTATGTGTTATAAAACCACTATATACAACTCACTCAGTCTCTGTTTTTAAAGTCCATACAGCTTCACTGAAATCATTTGGATAATTTCAGCGCTTACAGAGCATGTGTAGAAAGACTGTAGACAGACTAATAATGCAGGATTACTCAGACATGTGTGAATGAAACAAAACACAACTCCAGGTCTGTTTTTTGGGGAGGTAACAACATTCTAACATGACATAAAGCTCGCAAGAGTTAATTTCGTGTAATATGCAACCATTAAACATCCATCCGTCCATTTTCTTCTGCTTTATCTGAGACTGGGTAGCGGGGGAAACAGTCTGAGCAGGGACTCCCAGACTTCCCTCTCCACACATACTTCCTCCAACTCCTCCGGGGGGGATCCTGAGGTGTTCCCAGGCCAGCTGAGAGACATAGTCCCTCCAGCGTGTCCTGGGTTTTCCCTGGGGCCTCCTCCTGGTGGGACATGCCCAGAACACCTCTGCAGGGAGGCATCCAGGAGGCATCCGGTACAGATGTCAGAGCCACCTCAGCTGGCTTCCTGGCTTGACGTGGAGGAGCAGCGACTCTACTCCAAGCTCCTCCCGTGTGACTGAGCTCCTCATCTTTACTCTAAGGGAGCGCCCAGCCACCCTGCAGAGGAAACTCATTTCGCCCATTTGTATCCTTGATCTTGTCCTTTCAGTCATTACCCAAAGTTCATGACCATGGGTGAGGTTAGGAATGTGGACTGATCGATAAATAGAGAGCTTTGCCTTTTGGCTCAGCTCCCTCCCTTTAAACATACACTGATCAAATGAAATACAACTATGATTAAGCAACTGATGATGGAGCACTTAAAACATGTTTAAATTTCCATTCTATTCCACCACACAAAGATAGGTGGTCATCATACACCACTTAATACATTTATACAGCTGATAAGTATGGGCCTATAGATAAATAACAAGCTAATTCAATCAAGCGACAATGCCTGCCTCCTGTGGCCTGCTCATTAGCTTTTACCTTGGAGTGCACAGGGTCTCAAGAGGAGTGTACCACAGGACAACATTACAGTATTTTTAGCTAGTCTGCAAAGTGTTTGGGAATGAAGGGGGTATCGGATGTCGTCATGGCAACAGTAAGCGATGGTGCAGAGTGGCATGTATGTACTAGTAAGTATGTGTGTGTTTCCGTAAAGCTTGTACTTGTTTAGTTTGATGTTCACAGGGGAGCAGGTGGTGACACTGCGTATGGGATGAGGGTGAACAGGTTTAAGCTTTTAAGGAATACACAAACAGAGGGATGTATGTTTTTGTCTCTCGCCGTCTCTCTGGTTCGATTAAGGACATGTGTGCGATTTGAGGACACTTCTTACTATAGGTTTGTGTGTTTTCTCATGTGGAATGTGCCTGCCACCCATGAAATACTGAGGCTTTATGCATTGTACACAGCATTGTAAAACTGAAAAGATTTATATAAGAGACCTTTAGGGAGCTAACAGC